AGTATAGTCGCCATTTTCTTTTCTTTTTTTCCCTCCTTTATCCCTGCTCGAGGTGCAGCGATGCTAACGAACTTCAACCGGTAAGATTCAATATCGAATAAGCAATGGTACTCTGTACATGCAGCCCATATACCAGATCCTCTTCGGACCGGTCATGTGTCCAGGTGCCTAGGGAGTGTACAGTCACAGACGAAGCTCAAAATGTCTTCTTGATGGGTCAAGAAATTGTTATCTGATGCATATCATAACGTTTGCGCAATCTGGTTTTCCTGCACGGCGTCAATCAGGGCCAATCTCACTCTTGCTTAAAAACAACCCATGAACCTGAAAGGGTTCCCCCAGTGCGTCGGTGGAGCACAACGAGAGAGAGAGCGATTAACAACACTGCTCCCTGGCATATTGTCTTTGCATGAAAAGGCACGTGCTGGATCGTTGTCACTACACAGTACATCGTATACGCTGCGGGGGAGGGAGAAGAGAGAGAGAAACCCGCTTGTACTCTGTGTTCATGGTTACTTGAACACACTCAAGATGGACAGGCCCTTCATTTCTTTCTACTCTATGAAGCGAGCAGAAAGTCCGAAGTAGCCGCTATCTACTGGCTTGCAACCCACTGCCATTCAGTCCTCTCCTTTAGGGTGGGGTGAAGACATTTTGGGTCATGATACCATAGAAGCAAGCAGCCGTCTTTCTACATCTCCTCCCTCGGGTCATCTTGAATGTCCTCTCGCTAACGGCGCATGAACTACGCCGCCCGCGAATCAACCCCCCATCACCATGTCTGCTAATAACTTTTGGGGGGGGAGTCTAGGATCGTCCCCACTGGCGCCAGTTTGAGCAGATACAGTAAAGTGGCAGATCAATGCGGGCAAGCGGTTTCTGGCGCCGGCCCTCTCGGCTAGGCCTAACGCAGGAGAGTAACTGAAAACGGGCGTTCCCATTCCAGCAATGTTGATCCATATCCGCTGCCCGCCCTCGCTCGCTCGCTCATTCATCGAAACCCAGGCTCTCGGGTAAAAAGACCATATCTCGGTATTTACGGACTGTAGTGTAGGCTTCGTAGGTCACCTGCCACTTGACTTTGCTTGCCTGCTTGTATCGGCGGTGTAAGATTGGTCAAATGCGGGGGAAACAAGTCAATCACTATTTTTCTTCTTGTCTGGATAGACGATGACATCAGTGCATCTTTGCAATGCTATGAGATGGAGCATGTAGTAAGTAGTGTTTTGCACAAAACAAAGCATGTGCGTGCTGCACTCTCGCAGCTTACACAACTTCTATGTGCAATCAAGGAATATATCGGACCCCACTTTCCCCCAATACAATATTGTTATAGTGCATGAACATTACCAGCGCGAAGGATTTCTCTCTGTCTGATTAAATTCTTATTATTATTTTTTCTTTCAAGCAACACCTCCTGGGAGAGGCTCCTTGTCATGGATGGAAAGAAAGTTGACTCTAGTTTGGCTGGTCCCTTCCACAGCCCGGGCTCTCCTTGTCTGTTTCGTGATTTTGACTATGCGTGCCGCTGTCGAGGGCCGGGGAGAGCTCCAGGAAGAACCATTATTGCTTGCTGACAGCTACTAACAAACCCCCCCCCCCCCCCCCAATCCACATATACTGCTGTGTATTATAGCTACGACACGTGTGTTTGAACAAGGTACAGACCAGAAATTCTCCTTTGCATGAATGAGAAGGAAGGAACCGAGATTCATTCCCTGTGAGAAGCAAGCAAGCAAGCAGGTTGCGATGCACTGCGCTGCGCTGCGACCCTGTCAACCGGTAAATTTTGTGTCTTCTGTGCCCTCTTCTCTTTCTGCTAGGAGAAGGGGAAAAAAGAAAAAAGAAAAAAAGCATGCACGCACCACCACCCGCAGCGTTGTATGTCTACACCCATAGCTCGAGGCTGAACCTCGAGGCTTTCGTAGATCTTTCCATGCATCAGCAAGTTACTTGCATCTACCTAGCCGCTCGTACACTCTTGTTCTCTCTAACCCTCCCTTCCTCCGTTCCCCCTTTCTTGTTTTGCCTCCTTCGCAAAACCCAGCAACCTGGAAATTTCCCGAAACACGCATTACGTACCCGCGATACCCGGCAACGCGAGCCGGGAAAACCCAACCTGCCAACTGGGAAACCGAGGGGAAAGAAAGGAACTTTTGGTCATGGCCGTGAGGACGGTGCTTCCATCAGCTGAGTATCCGAGCGCCCGAGGGCATCGTATCTGATTGATGTTTTGCATATGGCACGTTTTCATTTACACCTCCCTACCCGCCCACCTTTTGCGACGGAAGCACCAAGCCAGGATGATGGCGCAACAATACTGAATCACGCCACAGACAAGAGCCGATCTCCATTTTCTATATACATGTGTACACATATACACATCTCACACCACTATACACAGTACACTACACACAAGAAGCAGGGCTACATCAAAGCATCAAGGTGGAACCCCATCTCTCCTTGGATTTCAAAAGGAAACGAGGTCGGTTGTGAGAGAATTGTCAAACCTTATTCCCTTCAATTTCCATTTTCGCTGGCTTGCCCCAGAACGAAACCGAAGCGATCGACTCACTACGTACCGCTACTGCTGCTGCTACGTATTGTCATAAAAGCCGGCCCCGCCTGAAATAGCTCCCGAACAGCGATCATCCTGATTCTGACGGCCGCGCCGTCGCGTTTCACCCCGAGCTAACCTAGTGGGTATTCGTCGTCTTCTTTATCATTCGAGAAGTCTTCTGGATTGAAAGAGAAACAGGTAGGAACCCCGGGTCGGTCACCCAACTCTTTCCCTTTTCTACATGGTAGGTCGGGTACGGGTACTGGAAGCCGCTTGGTCTTCCTTGATTGCCAACCGAGCCAACCCCCTTTGACATTGCCCTACCCGAGTCAACAACTAAACAAAGTACCCTAAGGAGGTTTGTTTTATTTTATTTTATCTTTTCTTGGTTGGTTCATGCAAAGGAAAAAAAAAAAAAAAAAAAAAAAAAAAAGACTAGGCTCTCGGTTCCGGGGGCAAACTTCCAAAGCGACGGAGGACGTGGCGCAAAAGGTTCGCTTGTATGAAGTAGAGTGCCCTATTTCTCAGAAACGAGTGGATTTCTGGGTACCTAGGTCGGGTAGCCGACAAGTAACGGCTGTGGACCTTGATGGTTCGCCCAGAAAAACGCGTCTTGCTATGAGAGAGAGATTGAAAGAAGACGCGATGACATGAGCATTTCTATTTGGCATGTGCCCGACAGCGAGGAATACGTTTGAAACAGTCGCGATTCCATCAAAGGTACCTCCCCGACAAAGATAGAAAGAAAAATATGTATCGAACCAGGTTTGGAGAGTACATACATGGTAATATCAATGCCGATAAGCCTGTTTCTGGGATCATAGCTTCGGAGAATTCAGATATAGACAAAACCCTCGACTATACTTGCTCCACGACGGCAGTCGGAGTTCGCCAAACGAGGCGGGTAATTCCATTCTGCTTGCTATGAACGGAAAGTTCTCTGATCTTCTCCTCCGCAGGAAACAAAAAGCCCGCTACCACTAAGCCTTGCTCCACAGAGACTTCCAAGGTAGTATTGTGTAGTGTATACATGGAACTTCTCGAAGGCACCAAGGAATGGCCTTCTTTGCCAGGGCACGGCGGTCTCTTTCATTTCGGGGAATGGCGCCCGTGGGGGCAGCAGTGAGTGTGTGTGTGTGTGTGTGTGTGTGTGTGTGTTTCTGTGAAATGTATAGAGGCAGTTTAATTGGCGTGGTGTATACACAGTAGTATAGCTACCCCCACAAAGCACACGTAGACTTTTGAAACGTTTCTAGAAAATAATATTGTCGAGCCACCGGTAACAAGTCTCATTGGATGGATGGGGGGCGATCGCACACAGGGAAGCTAACGTCAGCAGACGTTGTTCTGCGGGTCATATCTTGGGGCTGATCGCCTCCTTAACCCCCTTGGGATATAAAGTACAGCGACGTGGCTGTCGCTGATAGGAAATACGAAAAAAAGGCCGACGTGGGATGATCTCTCTCTCTCTCTCTCTCTAACTGGAAGATCTGCCTTTTGGCCATCTAGCGAAACCCAGAAACGACCCAGTCACAGCAAAGCCCTCAGAGGATGAATGGTTGCTACCGTGTAGAAAGCAGGAACGTGTATGCAATGTGACATACTTGCGTCACGACGTGACTTTGTTTGTACTGGAACCTCTTTGCTGGCCACTTTGTGATATTTTCAGTATACAATTGCCGAGGGGAACCGATCAGAGCCGAGAGCGAAATTTCCATATCGAGGATGGGAGGACAGTTGTTTGCCAGTCTTTTCCTCCCTTGAAGGGTTAAGTTACCGCACTACTTTGTCGATAATCACGCAGATAGGTGCATCTCCGTGACCAACCACAAGAGATGACTCAATCATGTGCAGTACCGAGATACCTGTGTTGGTAATGTCGTGTAGTCCTGCAAGAAACAATTGTGACTCAGCGCAACCCCATCGGAATCCTTAGGCACATGAACAGCCAGTCCATTAGCGACAAGATATGGATAATAGAACCATGGTAGTTGTTGTAACCAAGCATCTGATTATCAGAGCTATCTATTTGCTGTGCGTCATGTTTCTACTGACTTTATCGGTTGGGCATTGATCCCGACTCTCGAGTAGTCTGTGACTTGAGAACCCAGGATTCAGGACTCTGTATCGTGGTACTCGATGGATATATGCCCTCGTCCCTGAGATTTTGCAGCGCCAAAAACGACTCTCTCTGTGAATGTATGCAGCCTTGTCTGGTGGACTCGTTGCAATATCTTGAGGTGTTTTCTTTCGCAAAGCACTCGTCCTCTCTGGCGTGCATTTCCATCGTTCAACTTCAAGGCAGCGTGCCGCACCTGATACTGTTGAGAGCTAGATGAGTAATTAGATTTCATCGAAGGAAGCTCTTTCGCGACCCTAGATTCGTTGTCAAGAATTGTCATATTTTCTCCATCATTGATCAACGACTCCGCTGCCTCATTTACACGGCCACTTTTTGCAATACAGCGAAGAACAGCGGGCCCCATCTCCCTCCGCTCGGGTGATCAGGCAGCGCAATCCATCCATTTTTCGTGCTCTCTGCCCATTGTTCGACGCCTTTGCTCATCAGGTCACCGCTGCGTACGGACATGTCCCACCTAATGGCGTACTTTTTCTTCTCCTTGGCGACTAGTTCCTTTGCCTTTTCAATCACATCGTCGTTTTCGTCGCTGCTCAGAGAACACGTGGCGTAGAGGACGGTGCCGCCAACCTTGACGGCCCGCAGCGCCGTCATCAGGATGGCGGCTTGTATCTTGGCCGTCTTCTTGGACTGCCCGGACCGCCACGACGCCATTTCGTCGGCTACTCGGCCGCCCTGTCTGGCCTTGTGGTGGGCATGCAGAACGTGTCTCTCGCTTGAACAGGGCGCGTCCAAGAGCACCTTGTCGTAGCCACCTAGGCCCAGCGGCAACGACTGGGCGGCATTTTGCTCCGTGCCGTCAAGTTTGAGCACCTTGACCTCACCCGACTTGAAAAAGGAGGCGGGCAAATATGACTGCAAATTGGCGGCAAGACGTTTGTTTCGTGCATTGTCAATCTCGTTGCTGTGTAGACAGCCACCGCCGAGCGAGGGCGCGGCCGGGTCAAAGTTGGCTGGCCGCAGCAGCTGCGCGAGAGACAGACTCTTGCCGCCGGGCGCCGCGCAGAGATCGAGCACTTTGTCGCCCGGCGTCGGATTGAGAATGCTGACAGCTAGCAGTGAAGCGGCGTCCAAATTCCAGTGCGTCATCAAGTGAGGACTTGAGCCCGACACCGAATGTGGTGGTGGAAACGGCGCCTCCGAGATTGACGACTCGGCCGTCTCTGCTGTGGATGCCCTCTGGTAGGCAATCAGTCGTGTCTGGTCATCTCCGCTGGACACTACTTCAGAGTGTTCCGAGGCGGCTGAACCTAGATCCAACGGAAAGCTGACGCGCTGTAAATCTCTGGTGTCGTTTTCGGTAAAAGTGCTGGGTATGCCGTCTGCCTCATAGCGATTGATGAGCACCGCATAGCGCGTTGGCGCTAGCAGGGCCGGGCGCAGCGAGTTCTGCCACCTCTCATCGCTATACTGGTTTGCATAGGTCCGATTGAATGACTCTTCTGCAGCCTGAATCTGCTTTTGTTGTGCTTTTGTGAGTGCCGGCATATTGGTCAATCAGAGGAGCTGATACAGACAGTTCCTTTACTCCAGGTTGGAGGACCCCGGCCTGATATCGATAGTCGAAGTTCAGCCTGGGAAATGATGTGGTAACCAGAAAGGATATACCCTATCAAGTCGCCCCGCTGGATTTGACCAGTATAGAATCTACTTCCCTTTCGAGAAGTCAAATAATGTGTGGTAAGAATTGAGGTTTCATGAATATCTGTGTTGAAAAAAAAAAAAAAAAAAAAAACTTTGACGGCAAGTGATAGTAAGTGTTGGGCAGAAGAATTTTCACAGCTGTCAGCGGACCGTACAAGCGGCTATCAGATGTGACATGTAGACCAACTCTATACCTCTGGTTTGCGATACACCCAAGTAAGTAGCTGGCAAAAGGAATGAATATTTGCTGTGCATTCTTATTGGTAAATCATGTCTATACAATTCAGTGCAATAAAAATATTCTACCCGTCATAGGATATCCCTCATGATAATTTCACGTGTTTAATTCTACTGATCAAAGCGACAGTGTTACTACTACGTTTAGACTTTTTTAAGCAAAAGCTTTCTTTGTTTGTTTCCTTCCCTCTTCTATTTGCCCTTCCTTTGCCTGTATATAAAACTTTACAGTGGAAAAATAGGATTGTTTTTTCTCATCTTTTTGGTTTAATGACAGAGGTCTATAACACTCGCGAGTGATGTCCGATATCCACGATGAAACACTCCTTCTCCTATTACAAGACGTATATTCAGGCTCATATCTTTTATACACTTCATTCACAAAGCACACATTGACTTCTCACGCACTTGCATCATCGTCTCTGACGCCGCTCCCAAAAACATCATCTCTCCTCGACCTCCGATCCCAGACAAGGACACCGTCGCTGACGCGCTTAAAGTACATGATGCGATGCTGGGGGATAAACTCCTCGTCCGTCTGCTCGGCCTTCCACTGGTCTAGCGCCCGCTCCTTGATGCCCAGGAAGCGGTCCTCGTAGCCCACGAGGTAATCGCCGCTGTCCATGCCCGGGTCCCAGCGGATCCGGCTAATGACGTCGGCCGATGATCGGAACTTGCCCGCGTACGTCGGCTTGGTGTTGAGGATGACCTTGTTCTTGTCGGCTCTCTTGGACTTTTTGGACGATGACGACGCCGCCGCTGCCGTGTCGTTGTTGCTCTCCTCGTTTGTCATGTCGTCCTCGTCCTCTTCGTCATCCTCCTCTTCCTCGTCCTCGGACTCGTCATCTCCAATGGTATACTCGCCCCAGCTCCGGTGGTCCAGCTTTAGATCACCGAGTTCCGACTGCCGGACGACGGCGGCACACATCCAGGAGCAGGCCGCGTCAAAGTATTTTTCGTCGGCGCGCATCTGGTCCTCAAACTTTTGCGCGGCCGACACGAGGGAGCCGTGAGCCAGTTTGAGCTCTTCCTTGGACATGGCTTGGCCTTGGCGGTTCTCCAATCGGTCCAAGCCAATGAGGTAGCAGCCCTGGTAGTCGGATTCCTCGTCCGACGAGTCCGTGGCGACGAACCGGGCGGGCCAGATTCGTGCGTGGATATTGGGTAGCCTGCGACCAATATCTATTCTCTCTTGTTAGCGGGGGATTCATCTCTGGCACAAAAGTCTGGAGGCATCGCTCGCTTTCAAAGACTTACCAACTAGGAGCATGACACATTTGGACTCGAGCCATCCCACAAACCGACTACCCTTGGCAAGCGAGACGCCCCAAAACTGGACATCAATCTTGACATAACTCTTGTAGGCCTGGAGGAAGGTGCTGGGGCCGCTTTCTGCCGGCACCCGAGCGATGCCCATGAACTCTGGCCAGCTGATGCCCGGGCTGGCTAGTATACGGTCGGCCCGCTGAAACTCTTCCGCAATGGTCTTGACCGAAGGCGGGGAGGCCGCGGTAGCAACGTTGAGGCTCGGCGAGTGGTACCCGAGAATGACCATGGCCTCTCGAGACGTCCGGACGTAGCGCAGGCGCGTATGAAAGAACGGGTCAAAGACCATGTCCTTTTTCCAGTCAAAGTTGGCATAATGATGAAAGAAGCAGAGGATGATCATGGGCACTGAGGCAGAGCCGTGGTCACGGCTGAGCATCTTGCAGACCCGCGAAAGCAATACTGCAATATGAATTCCTCCTAGATATCCGAAGCGTGCGGCGTAGATGCCCCGCTGTTTGGCCCACGTCTTGATCAGGTAAAAGGCCGTTCTGAATGCCGCAAAGTCGGGCACCGTCCGCCGGATATAGTAGAGATCGCGGGCGGGCTTGAGCTTGGCGAGCGTCTGCGCCGGCAGTGAAAAGACGGGGCTGTTGGCGGGCAGCTTCATGGCGCGCGGCCACGTCTGGGCGATGAGCGCCGAGGCGCAGTACTGCAAATCCATCTTGACGCCCAAGACCTCGAGCTCGAGCATGGTGCCCGACAGCGCGTTGACTCTGCGCAGGACCTTGACGCCCTTGGTTACCGCTCTGCGCAGCCTCTGTGTCGCGAGGGCAAAGAAGGTCTTTGGGCTGATCGAGCCCAGGCAGAGACAGTCCACGTCCGATGACGCAGTCCATACACCCAGGCCGTACGAACCAACAGGCACCACGACAAATTGCACGCCTGTACGGTTCTGGGAATTTTCGGTGGCAGAGTCTGTATCCTCCAGAGTATCGCGCAACAGCTGCAAGGCTTCTTCTCTCTTGGCGAATTCCTCTTCTGGCGGAAAAACTTCAAGAGCGGCGAGACTGGATTTCAGCTCGTTGACATCGGCCAGATGGTCGGGGACTGTCTTTTCGGCCACTTTGATCATGAGACTTGAAGTCTCGTCGTCAAGCAATGATTCAGGGGCCAATTTGAGCGAGCATCGAACTCCCCAATGATCACTCGCATATGTCGATGAGATCTTACCATCTTGGTCGCCAGTGCCCTCGATATCCCTCTTTACTCGCCCAAACATGTTGAAGCCGCCAATCGAAAGTAGCTGACCAGCCTTGAACAAGATTCGATCGTATCTCTGTGGTCTATTGTTGAATCCACTGCCAACTATTGCGGCAGCCAGCTCGTTGGAGAGAGGGTCGAAAGTGGCACCCTGCTCGCCTTCAACGGCTTCGTAGATATCCTTTTGATCCAATTCCAGGCCAGTAGCATCGAGATTTCCAAGTCGCGCGGCTGTCCATGAGTCGGAAAATCCAGCTTCGAGCAGAATGCTCTCGATATCCGTCAAGTAATCGGCCGTTTGTGATGAGATGCTCTTCTTTTCGAGCGCGGCGCTGATCGTGGCGGTGCTCGTCGTGATGTTGAAGTCGCCAGCCATTATCGAGGGATTGTTCGTATGATTTTCGTCGAGATATCTGATGATTGACTGTAACTCGGACCTCTTTGCCGCCACCGATCCGTCCGTGAGCCCACACGTCAGGTGCACGGTAGCCAATATCAGCGGCACAAAGTCGTCTCCATCTTGCCGGCCAATATCATCAAATTGTAATACTAATGACCCTTTGTGTCGTCTCTTGAATGGAACCCACTTCCAAGAAAAGCACCATTTGCTCAGCACGACGACGTTGATGTGACTTGGCAGAGGCCCAATATCGACCTGGTTGGGAGGCGCGTTTGTGACGAATGGGTACTCTCCTCGAACATCTTGATTAGCAAGGAGATGACAGAGAAAGTCATCGGTAACCTCTTCGAGTATGAGAATATCAGATGTGGCTGAAACATCTAGAATATTGCTCAAAAGGAGCGGATATCGCTCTTGTGACGGGGGATACTCAAACTCTGCCAAAACATTATAAGAGGCAATCTTGAGAGTCTCTGGACATTGTTGTCGCTCCCTGTCAGGGGATATCCTGCAGTACCTCCACGAGCTGCTGTTCACGGAGTACTGAAATGGCACACATCTCTGAGACGTAGGCGCTGCGTATGAGTCGACGTCGTCGCTTCGAGTGTTGGCTTGCACGGCTTCCAACTCATAGAAGTAGGAAGGGCTGGGCAAGGCACGGACCTTGAAGTCGCAAAGGCTGATCGTTCCCCATAAACACATTTGACTTGACACCTTGCCATCGATATGCGTCTTCTCCCGAACCAAGATGCAAAGCTCCTGTACATCCCACGCCACGGCCGGGATGAGGCTCGCCTTTTGCACCAAGAACTTGTGCGCGTCAGAGTCGAGATCGGTGCTTTGACCTATCGTCATGTGCATGTTGTAGTCATTATCATGCTGTCCAAGTGACTCGAGTACAGCCTTCCTCGATTGCTTCAGCCCCGCTGCACGGTCGGCGTCATTGTCGTGGATGAAAATCGTGTTATTGTGCCGATGCGGGAACACTCCTGCAGCTCTTAGAGATATCGAGAGGGGCGTACCAAACTCGTTATCGAATTTGGCTTCTAGACTTTTGGAAATGGTATTTGCGGCTTCGTGAAGATATTCCGCTTTCACAAAAGGATATACGATGTTGACGTGTGGTGGCCATTTCTCATAGGCCTTGTCGTATAGCGTTCGCAAACTGTCGATAGAGGACCAGTGACTTCGTGGGGGAATAATGCATAGAGCCGTGTCACTTGATCCAAAATCGATTATTGGAGAATTAGATGAAGAAGTCTCCGAGGTCGCCATGACTCTTGAGATGAGTATATCGTTCTGGGGAAATTGCCAAGAAAGAGAATGGAAATGAACAGAAGTAAGAGTATGGCAAATTGAAATCAATAATCAGCAATCAGCCACTGCCACCTTTGTCTATACAACTTTGCTTCTTTACAATAGTGAATGAGAAATATCAAAGAACCAAGAAAGCAGCTGATGGAGAAATATATATATTTGACCTGAAGTTCAAGAGCAAATTGGACATGATATAGTAATAGGCAGGGGAGGCTGAACTTGGCAAAGTTGAGGTGCTGTAGCTGTATCCCAGCAATGCCAAAATGAGCTAAAGTGGTGGGTTGGGTATAGGTATCAGCACTGAGTGGCCCCCTAAAGAAAAACTAAGCCATAGGCGCTAGGCGACAACTGAAATGGCCGTAATGGCATTGGCAAGTTGGAAATGTTTCCCTTGTTGAAACCGCCTCGGAATCCGTGCAGGAATATCGTGGCTGGCAATGTCATTGGTCCGAACAGAAAATAAACCCCCCAGCTCTTCTCAGGAATTGTTCAGACCATGAACCGGGGTGAGTCACTCGTGTGGGCAGTGGTGGTGAGTCGTGCTTAAGCCAGGTCCAAGATCCACTCTTGGCGTGCTATTTCATTATGATTCATTCTGTCTGTGCCACCAGGCTGTGTTTATCACACGAGCCACACTGAGTTCACGGCAAGGGAACCACATGTGTATATTGACCGAGTCCAGAAAGCCTTGCAATAAGTATCAAGTCGGGATATATTTATGACAACACATATAGAATGTTTCCCCGTCGCCATCTCGTTGTGCAGGATTATTGGTTTCCCATAGGTTAAAATAGGATCTTGGCTTCTATTCAGATACCTGCCTCATTGGATTACTTCCCAAGCATGCCATCGCAACATGGCACCCAAAAAAAACAACCAAAGGCTATCATGGTCCAAAAAAGGGAGGAAAAAGGTCAACGGTGCTAAAATGATCCTATACCACAGATCCCGTGCTCCGTCAGCTCAGTAATTTCCACCATTGACCATTCCACAAGCGATAATCAGGTCTCGTCTTTCGCCCCCAATCCTCGATAGAAAGCGAGTTCTTCTAGGACTCCAATTTGGCAGGCTTGATGGGCTTTTGCTCGGGAACATAGTCATAGGTGCCTCCCATTCCCAACAGCCAAACCTTTCCAGGGTGCTCGGGGTACTTTTCGCCGCCCCAGAGGAAGTTGTTCGGGAATCCGAGATCGAATGAGTCTGCTGCCTCGATCTCACGAATGTCCTCTTCATCAAGTTCGAGAGTCAGAGCCTGGATATTACCCTTGAGGTGATCTACCGTCCTACCACCAACAATCGGAAACACGTATGGTGCCTTGTGCGTGACGTATGCTTGAGCGACCGAGGTAATGATAGAGCCCTTTCGCTTTGCAACCGCCTCAAGGGCCCTGCTGACCTTGATTTCCCTCTCGGTTGCTTGAACCTTGCGGCCTGCAGTGCTGTTGCGTTGTTCTTCCGTCTTGAACTTGCCGCCACCGAGGGCGCCCCAGGGTGCGAGGCCCATCTTCTCATCGCGGACCATGGGCAGGATCTCACGCTCAAAGTCGCGGTTGGCAGCACTCCAGCGACCCTGGTAGACACAAAATTGACGAAGGCCGTGATCACGAGCATACTGGTTGGCCTTGGCAACGACCCAGGCTGGCGTATCGGAAATTCCTAGATAGAGCACCTTGCCAGAAAGAACAAGGGCATTGAGAGCCTGCATCACTTCCTCGATCGATGTGCTGAAATCCCACCAGTGCACGTAGAGCTATACCAATAGTCAGAACCGTTTTCATCATGTCAAATTATTGTAATCAGTTTGGTGGGCGGTCACGGCTTACAAGATCAATATAGTCAGTCTGCAGTTTCTTGAGACTGGCATTTACCGACGTATGCAAGCTCTTGGTGCCATTTCCGGTGAAGTTGGCAGCAATCTCACCAGTTCCAGAACGGAAACATGTAGTATACTTGGTGGCAATGACTAAAATGCCGTATTAGCCAGGGGGAAACGGTTCCTCGATACATTTATACTCTGTAGCTAGCAGCAAGACTCACCCATTTGGTCACGGTTGCCGCGTTTCTTCATCCACTCGCCAATCCATTTCTCCGACTCCTCGAATTGGTAATTATTCGCAGTGTCGATAAAGTTGCCGCCTTGCGAGTGGAAGAAGTCGAGGATCTCCTCAGTCTGTTTCTGATCGCAAGCACCCATATATTCTGGTTGAATTCATTAGTACTCACGTTCTTGTCAGATTCGTACAAACAAGACTTCATTCAGAAACTTGTGGCCTTTGAAGTAGGAGAGAAAATGTATGTAGCAGGAGGTAGAAATACTCACCCTTCCAGGCATCTCCAAAGTTCATTGCACCAAGGCAGAGAGGCGAGACTCGAATGGAAGCACTGGGCGAGAGAATGCGATAGCGGCCCAGAGGGCTCTTGGGCGCAGGGGCCATTGGCAAGAAAGACATGTTGACTGATTGGGGCGGGCTTTTGGTAGGGGATGGGTGACGATGTTGCTGCTGTTGCAAGGAGCTCTGGTGCTTGATCCCCGAGAGTCACTGTGTGTGGTGTATAGACTATCAAGAATGGAAATGGCGAGGGATCGTTCGACTTATATCAACAAGTCACCACGTTCGTGAGCAGTCTGCCGGCGTCAAGGGGCATGTCCGAGCGTCCCGATTTGTCAGTTTGGAATTCAAAAGAAAGTATAGTTGCAGCTGCGCGGAGCCAGTCCCCGCAGCTGTTGCTCGGATCGCTGGCCTTCTCCTCGTTGATGATGATCTCATCAAACCGTGTTGACTTCTCCAACCCACAAATCTAAAAGCCGGGGGTAGAGATGGGATCCAGTGATGTAAGAAGCTGCGGCTAGGTGATAAGAGAACTGGGACTTTGGCTCAGTTGCATTCAATTACCACTTGCCGATTCTAAAGTCCGAAATTCAAAGCCAAATTGCTCTCTCCAGGTTGCACTGCCGGGGCCGCGGGTGGTTGCTGCTTCGGAATCTGTATCATAGCTCCGGAAGGTGCATAAGCGTTGTGAATCTGGCCTCGGCAACAGCATCGATCCGGACGGGGGTGGAGAAATGTGCATAGTCACTGTGGAAGCTACACACAACAAGTCTGCAGTATTCCCTTGTGTTTCTTTCCGTTGCAAGCAAGTGGTGCTCCTCTAACATGGAGCAAATAACACAATCAAGAGTAGAGAATCATTCATCTTGGGGCAAATCAATTATCAAATCACTGTCGTGGTCATGCTCCTGTCTCCGTTGTGAGCCATTTGACACTGCAAAACGAGCTGGCCCTCATGGTGGACAATGAGCTGAGATGTAGCCCAATGGCGCAATGACTGGGGACACTGGGCAAGTATATTCGCAACCATTGCTTCAGAGAGAGACCCTAATTTGAGATTAATGGGACTTTTAGCGCATGGAGACAAGAGCTGAAGCAATCTTAAAGCGCAAGTGATTCGATAGCCCTCCAACAAGACGTCTGGTGTGAGTATGCTAGGTTGGTATAGTGTATAGTATAGCGGGGAAGGAGACAAAAAAGGCTTGAGTTTGCTCACATTAGCCCCACTGTTTACACGCTGCTGATTTCGACAAGCCGATTGCATTATAAACAAGAAACGGATATAACCATGCGTCGCTCCTAACTCCGTAAATTATTGGAAGTCGTACAGAGATTTCGTATTTGGTAGAACAGCTTAAACGTGACTCGTGAGCCCATCTTATGCTTGCCCTACTTTAGAGTGGATGGTTTATATATACAAAAATATACAACGTGTCAACATCAGCATTTCCATACGCCGACGATGCCGTCCTGGCGTCCCTCAACCATGTATCCCTCCTTGATGCGCACATGCTCGACGATTGCCGGAGTCTTGTCCTCTTCGGCCTGGGTGATGCCGGCACCGCATTCCCACTGTCGTGACTCGAGCTTGTCGTACACCTTGACCACATCCTCCTGAGCCGCGCTGACAATGCGTCTGCTATCAAACATCATGCTGGTGATGGGGTTGTCATAGGCAAATGCATCAAAAATGGATCCTGTCCGTAGGTCCCATATCTGAAAAGTTTTGCGTTAGTCAAACACTCAAAATAGAATATCACGAGTTCAATGTCGCGATGCAAAAGACTTACCCGTATGCTCCTATCCAAGCTACCCGTCACCAGATGAACATCGTCAAACTGCAAGCAGGTGACTGGACCGGTGTGTCCGACCAAGCTGCGGGAAACTTGACCACTGCGTAGATCCCAAAGGCGGACCATGCCGTCTGCTGTACCACAGGCGAGGGCAGAGTCAAACACCTGTAGAGCACCAACAAAGTCGGCTGAACTAGATGTGCCCCGACTGGTCTGCCTCCAGGCACCCTCTGCCGATCCCATGGATGCTGATGCTTGCGCTGCTGCCCACATCACGTCTAGAGTCTGCACACATCGCCCTTTCTCGAGATCCCAGTGTCTAAGCGTCTTGTCTGCCGAGCCCGATACGAGCACATCGCCGCGGAAGTGTAGAGCAGTAATTTGGTCCATGTGAGCTTCGAGAGAAAATAGAGGGCAATCAGCCATGCTGCCAGCGGGTGGCTCCACTGGCTGGTCATCGGGGTTCTCAAAAGCGATACCGTCTTCCTCGTCCTCGGCAAGATCACCTTGAGGGTCGTAGTGCGCTTTGCTCAAATCCCACAAACGAATCGTCGCGTCGGCACCGCCAGTGGCAAGAAAGTTGTCCTCGAGTTGAAGCGCCCGTACCGATGCAATGTGGCCCTCGAGAACGCCAATGCAGCGACCAGCATTCAGATCCCAAACCTTGACCATATCATCCAGACCAGCGGAAACCATGGTACCAAAGGGTACGTCAAAGTCGATAGCCGTGATATTGTCGCCGTGAGCCTTGATTTCGCGGATAGCAGTACCAGGTTCCAAGTGCTCATGCAAAACCGGCAAGGACTTTCGCTTGATAATCTTGTGTCTCTTTGGCTTTGAAGGAGTGCTCGAGGCTGAGGGCAATTTCTCATAAACAGATTGCGACATGAAGTCGTCGGCCGCCTTTTCAGTAACCAAATCATCGTCATCGTCCCTTGTAGGTGTATCTGCTGCGATAGACTCGGCCTCGTCGACAAGTAGCTGAGCGTCTTCTATCCGTGTTTCCATATCGACGACTGCAATCATGTCAGACCCGTATTCCAGCGCAATAACAGAAAAAAGATGTTTGGGCCTTACTGTCGTGCTCCAGCAAAGCTTCCTCTTGCTCGAGGCCGGCAAGCCTCTCCAGAATGATCCTCCGCATGCCATGTAGATTAGCAATCTTGTTGTCGATTTCTCGTATCTCGACGCTAGCCATATTTTTCCGTATCCCGAGCATCTCGAGCTCATGCATGAGAGAAGACCGCTCTTTCTTGAGCGATTGCAGGTGGCGTGGACCGTCCGGCGTCCTGGGGGTATCTTCAATCATCTTCCTGCCCCTCGACACTCTTCGCCTGTGCTTTTTGCCGACTTCGTTCAGCTCTGGAAAGGAGGCCTGGAAGCCCTGGAAAAGGGAGTACGAGTTCTCATTGTCGGGAATCTGCTGCAGCATATCATCGGAGAGGTAGGACAGGGCACGTGTCTGAATCTCCGAGGTCGAGAACCTGGACCTGACCATGTCGGTAGGCGTCGTCTTGGCCATTGAGAACATGCTACGCTGAATGCCGGGGCGCTTCAGCTGCTTGTGCACCTCGGCCATGGCGTTGTGGTAGTGATTCGAGGACGGGTCTGCCAGAGGGCCAACTAGGTGGCTCGCCGTGGCAGTGACCTTTCGAGTGAAGGTCTCGATGCCTCGGGGCTGGGGGTACATTAGCTTCGACCGGCGGCAGCATCAAGTTACGATGTTGGAGAGATGCGGTACCGAGAAGACAGAATCATCGCCCACGGGGGCTTCATCGTGAAAAGGATTGTTCAAATCTGTATCGTCCATACGACAGACAGCGTTCTCGGGTGGGTCGCTGGGTGGGTTCCGAGACTAAAGCCTGTGACAATACGGAGCAAAGTTGCGAGGTTGTGCGTTGGCAGCAAGGTGAGGGAGACAGGGAAGGGGGGAAACAATGGCGGTATTGTGTGTTCTGGACGACCGCGACGACGAGTATTGATCTGTCTGGGGTAAGAATTGATACGTAGCAGCTCTTCTCGGGAATTTCACCACGACGACATTGCAAGACAGCAGGCGAGACAAATGATCGTCATGCAAAAAGACTTGTTGCGGGAGCTTTGATAGGACTGGAGCAAGCAGGTCAATGCAAAGCAATGAAGTCAGTCAATTGGTTAGATAGCTGATAGATACGGGGTACGCTCGATACGGTACTGGCTGGCTGCTGGGCAGTCCATTTGCTGTGTGGGAGCTTGGGGAGGTGGCACGAGCCACGCGACAGACCAATCAACCAACCAGACACGGGGAGCAGCTGCAAGCCTCTCTTTTTTTTCTTTTTTCCTCGCTCTATTTGTTTTTGACCCCCCGCTCTCACACAAAAAATCTCCGCGCTTCTAGAAGAGACAGAGGACACCAAACCAAGGAAGGCGGAGGGGAAGAAGGGGAGGAAAAAAAAAAAAAAAGTCCGATGGCTGCATGGCTCCAGGCTGGCTAGGTACTACACAGCACAATGTTAGCAGGGGTCAGACCGCTCTAATACCCAGGTCATGTCTATGTATTCAGCGGCATGCAGGGGGCCGACAATATCTTGCGCCGCTCGGAGTAATAAACTTGACATAGACCAGTAGGAGTATAGTTGATGACCTGTTTATCTACAGGTAGGTACCATGGCTGGGATGGCATTCAAGTCTATAGTCGATGGTAGTCTGAACAAACTGTTGTTGGTACATTTTCGAGTCTGGCACCTTCGGCTTATTTCAAGTAACCGAGTGACCCATGCATGTTCCTTCGCACACAGCAATTAACAGGAACACTTCCGCTCAATCGCGGGCCGCTGCTTACTCCAGTCTCTTTTCCCTTTAGTAGCATGGTGCCACAACTGGACACACTCACTAAAGCGCATCCATCTGACCCGAATATCGGCCCTAGGATCACTCTCATTCTCTGCTAGTAAGGACGGCAAAGACTGAAGACTAGACTTGAGGCACGGCTCGAGTATCAACTACAACAACGGCAAAGAGGGCATACTACCCTCCCGAAACCTTAAGAACCCCAGTCAGTCGTATTGTCATTATTGCACGCCCAGTATACCGATCAACATGGATACCGCAATCGACGAATCGGCAGCTAAGGCACTAGATCTAGCCAACATTAGAGCGACCCTCATGTTAGTCTTTCCATGTCCCACGAGGCAAGGTTTAAAGATTGCCAGGACCAAGAAAAATGGGAGAGGGAAGGAAAAAAAGGGTTTTTATATAAACGTATCGCTAATCACGTGCTGCAGCCGGCTCGAGGACACCATCATCTTCCACCTGATTGAGCGTGCCTATTTCCCCTACAACAAGGCCATCTACACGCCAGGTACGCTCGAGGGTATTCCCGATGCCAACCTCAGCTTCATGGACTGGTACTTGCGGGAGCAGGAGAGGCTGCAGGCTAGGATCCGGCGCTTCCAGTCGCCCGACGAGCACCCCTTCTTCCCCGACACGGAGGAGGTCCAGCCCGTGCTGCAGGCTGTCGACTACCCGGACGTGCTGCACAAGAACCAGGTGAATGTCAATGACAAGATCAAGACGTACTACACGGACGTCTTCCTCCCCCAGATCTGCCCGGATTTCGGCCGGCAAGACCGCGGCGAGAGCAACGAAAACTATGGCTCGACGGCCACTTGTGACATTGCCTGTCTGCAGGCCATCTCCCGCCGCATCCACTTTGGCAAGTTTGTGGCCGAGTCAAAGTTCCGCTCCGAGAGGGACCGCTTCACAAAGCTCATCCAGGCCAGAGATGGCCAGGGCATTGGTGATGCCATCACCAAGCCCGAGGTCGAAAGGCAGGTTCTGAAGAGGCTGGCCCTCAAGGCCAGCACCTATGGTAAAGACCCCGCATCCGAAGACAAGGAGTCGCGGATCAACGTCGACAAGGTGGTGGAAATGTATGAGCAGTTTGTCATTCCGCTTACCAAGGATGTGGAAGTGGACTATCTCTTGACGCGACTTGAGAATTAAGCACGATATAAGACTCGAGCGAGCTTGGAATATTGATACTGTCTTTGGCTGTCTGAGAAAAACGTGGTAGCGACCTGCGAGAAGTATAGAATATATGTCTAGAAGCTCAAAAGAAGAATACATTTTTGGACACATCCTCATTACGAATATTGATTGCTAAACTTGAAAGATGCGCAAGGTGGGCGAAGCCGATTGACTTCGAGTCCGTGACGTTTCCTCTTCACTCAAGTCGAATTTTGAACGGGTATCTTTATAAACATTTCTATTTTATTCATTTGCCAACCCTAGTGAATCATGCTTCAATTATCTTTCCCTTATGATGGGGGACTCAGATAGTCGTTGATGGCCTTGACCGCACCCGCAAACTTTGGCGCCTCAATGAGCATCAGGAAACCCTTGGGCTGGATGCCCATCTCCTGAAATGCGCGCTTGCTGTCAGCGACGGCCTCACTGTGCTTGGTGAACTCGTAGCTGCCCGAGGCCACGGCGTGCTTGGCCAGCACCTCGTCCTCGGGGTGGAAGTAGAAGACGGCCGGCTCGGCCACCTTGCCCTTCTTCTTCTTGCGCTCGTCCAGCACGTCGAGCGTCGACTCGACCTCGTGGTACACCTTGGACAGGATCAAGTAATGCGAGAATTCGTAGGGCTCCTTGTCTTCCACCGCCGCCTCAATCTCCTCCATCAGCAGATTGTACATGGGTGGCGAGATCTCCGAGGGCATGTTGATCAAGCGCTCCGCCAGCACCAGGCCCACGTGCTTTCCAGACGCCAGGAGCTCGGGCAGTGGTGCCAGGGGCTCAATGGCCTTGGCCTTGTCGCCAATATACTGAATCAGATCTGTGACGGGCTTCTTCTCGCGGTGCTCGTGCAGGTTGAGCGCCGTGAGCATGGCGTACGGGTCCGTGTCCTTGCCGTCAACCTTGACCGTTGAGCCAATGGTCGACTGGTTTATGATGAGATCGGCCAACCCCGAGACGTCGAACAGTTGTGAGTCGACATCCAAGAGCTGCCTCAGGAGCGATTTCACGCCGTGGAAATCAATCTCTGTAAAGTTGAACCACTCAAAGTCGACATTGACAATGTCGAAATCCTGCCTTTGCGTATTAGAAGGCGGGCCCCTCTCTCTTCACTCGTTACTTGATCACTCACGTCGTCATCTGAGCTCTCGTCTTCCTGCATCCTGTCTGGGTCAGGTGCCGCACCGTCGGCTTCTCTCGCTCTCTTCTTGGCCATTTTGTGTTATGGTGTGTTTGAATGTTATTCTTTTCGATGGTTCTATTTTCTTCAAGAGTTAAAGATTTCTATGTGAATAAAGCTGCTTTCATCTGAATTGCAGCCAGGTGCCAATGACACCGCAGCCCAAAATTTCTGGCAGCGGCCCCTCACTAACCCAAATTAGGCTTATCTCGATAAGCAACGAGTAGTTACTAATTCGGTGCACGATGTCCCCAACTGTTACATATGCGACAGTGGGAAGAGTAGGGAATGGGTAGGGAGAAAATCACCTGAATTTCAAGCATACAGTTCTGATGGTCCGCACTTGGGCACCTTGAGACTGAAGCGGCATGGCATGGCCTCATCCAGTGTTGTCGTTGAAAGGGTCTCATCTCAAAGTGCCGAGAAACGGCCCATTACCTACTTCACATCTGTCCCAGGGTTTGGCCGTTATTTGGCAGGTCAAAACCAATATGCCCTTTCTACTCTGGCATACCATGGCAAACGGTGAAAAGAGATCTCTTCAGGTCGTGAACAGTCGTAGCATGTGCCGTCATGCCTCGAAGGCCTAGAACCTTTCAATAAGTCGGTGTCAGCCGTCCGCTATGCTCAAGCACAGCGCTGGCATGACTTTCATATGATTATTTAGTCTTTCCCATTTCATAATTTGGGATCTCAGAAATTTGACACCGCAAATCTCGCGCTATCAAGGTCTGTTTCCAAGGCCTCAGGGGTCAGGACCTCAATATTAAGCATTGGTAGTACAGATACATATAGTACATTGAGAGTGCCAGAGGGCGTTGAGGCGTCGGGGTCGACCCTCAGGAGAACGAACGCACAGGGCAAATTCTGAGCTCCAAAGAAAGATAGTTCCCTGATAAGAAACCTTTATTACACGTTCACAATCCTCCAATCAATGGAAAGGGGAGGAGGGGGCGTTTGTGCTGTACAGTGTAAGATGTCTTTTGCTTTCTTGGAAATTGAAGGTCTATTCTTGTTATTTAATGTTGTCCACTTGTAAGCATGACGTAAACACATTCGTCGGTAGACGCGTAGTGAAGCGAAATCTGTTTACGCGGTTGTTGAAGACCGATGATGGAGAGCAACCCAGATTCCCCCATCTGATTCTCCACCAGAACAAAAGGCAAGAAAAGAGGCCCAAATCTCGGCAGCAAACAATAAACAAACTGCGGGTCATTTCCTCGCCAACCTGAAGCTCTCCGCGATGTGACCCCGTTGGGCGGGGCGGGCTCGGCGACAAACTTCTACACTAGGTGCCAAGTTGCCCAAATGCCCAGGTAGGTACTGTAATAAGTACTGTGTAGTCTCGTCACGGATCATGGCGAGATGCACATGCAATTACCTAGATACGCAACGTTCTGAAAGGGGCCAAGGGTTTCTTCACCGTGTACAGTAGTCATTGAATTTGACGAACGTGGTCGGCTGAGAGGGCTTACTAGCGAAGCGCCTCTTTGCCTTCCACGGACCTCCAAAAAAGCCACTGTTGTGGTCTTTGCGGCTCATTATGTGCGCCCGCACGAGATAGGGACGTAGTATACCTACTTTTCTACGTTGGAAGGGAAAAAGACTACTACTCGTCTTGATACGCTACTACTTAGGTCGTGCCTCTAGCAGGGAGCCTCAGCTCTGAAAAGACGGAAATGGCTGATCGAGGCCCCGAGAGGTCCAAGTCTTGGCGGGTTCCGAGATGCAGGCACTACCGTCTACTATAATCGTCTTTCATTCTTCAGCTTCAGCCTCCAAATAACTAGATCAGATCTGGTCAGGGCATGGGCAACAGCTTCGAAAGTGGCGACTTCTATCACAAGCGTGTACTTTATTCAAAGGTCAGGGCAGATCTTGTGAAAATCAAATGTTATTTTTGCAAAGCTCGACCTCGGGAGAGGGGGAGGGCGATTCGTTCATTATTACCGATAGTCTCGAGGATAAAATCCCCCAATGATACGATGATATCGTTCCAACGGCTATTGCCAGCTGCATCGCATATACCGTCTTGCCCGGGAACCGCATTCGGAATGCACGTAGAGTTGTCAGCTGTTTCTTAAGTGAAACCTTAAAAAAGTCCCTCAAACAAAGCCCCGAGGACAGGAAACAAGGAATTCTGCGAGGTACTGCACTCATCAAATGCATCTATAGTTTTGTATACATCTTTCCTTCCATCTGGAACTGCTAGTTCAAGAAGATGCTTGGCAAGCCCTCTCGTCGCTTCTAATTACTGCAAAGGGCAGTGAATTGGGTCAAACACAATTGGGCCCTAACGTTGTCCAATTTGCTTATGGCATTGCAAAGAATGACAGAAATTTCCTGGATGCAAATCAATGTCAATCTCGATGGTTCTTTGTCCAACAAGACGCAAGGTCTTCTGGTTCCAAGACTGCATTTATACCTACCGCTGCATGTACCTCTTTCGGATCATAGAGATCACCGGGGCACATTTTGTGGATGGGGGCTAAAAGCATGTTTCCCACTGGATAAACCCTAGCCGGTTATCATGGATACTACCAATTGGAATGTCAGGGGTTGAATAGCTTGAAAGCTTACGCGGCTTCACATGTGTGGTTGATGGCACAAGATGCGAGAAATACTATCGAATCGAATTTATGGGAATAATAATAAACCATGTTAAGATTAACTGCAGCAAGATACGTACAATGTGCATGCCGCTAACAGAGCCTCGACCCGATCGAAGAGGCAAGGTGACATCAACAGTACTTCCGGGCCTCGCAACTTCAGGCTGGAACGGTACGGCAGTTCAGGGGTACTGTATAGGTAGTCCGGGTTTTCAAAGAGGCGCTGACTACACGTTTCAAGGCGCTTTCACAGGCTATGACAGGCACAAAAAGAGAATTGACTTTGACTAGAATGGGAGAACGTTGAAAACTCTGAAGCTTGTTGTGGTAGCACATCCAGAATGCTGGAAGTGTCCTGACTCGATATTACTAAATGTAGCAGTACTAGCACTAATGGGTATACGCAGACACAGACAAGAGGGAAAATGCAGAAAAAGCCAATACTCCAGTCAGCCAGCCCAAAAAAAGAGGTGGCGACTAACAAACTCCGATACACCTTTTTTTTCCCTTGAGACCCGCAAGTACTAAACGCCGGCACAAAAGATGTGAACAAACTCCGCGTCTGGTCACGGCAGACCGACGATTTGCCAAGCCGTAAAAAATATCGAGAGCAGGGTGCATCAATGAGCCAGACAAAATGCAGCCCCAACGCTATGCAGAAAAGACGTGATAGATAATGTGACCCTTGGCGGCAGATTATGACGCCTTAGACTGCATGGGCAAGTGCAGATAGTTCTCAGGGAGCGTCTGCGAGCTGCGGAATGCGTCCTTTGTCTCATCGGCAAGGTCTGCGTTTTGGCCGTGACCCGTGGACAGTTCTGGGTTCGGGGTAACGGCAGGAGTCAGCTGGAGACCCAGACCAAGCACGGCTTGTCCAGAACTCATAAGCCTCGTGTCAAATGCGCACTCTCTGGCCTCGAATGCAGCTTCGCTCGTCTCGTCTTGTAGTTCTCGTCGAGTGGCCTCAATATCGTGGCGTGCCTCCTTGATATATTCTTCATCTGTCAAGGGCATGATGCGGTACTCGAGTGCCTCCATCACACATCTTTCGGTTGCATTGACCTGCTCGCATGACCAGATACCCCGACCCCATTCGGTGCAAAAGTACTGCGTTGGGTCGTGGACATCTTCAAGAAATTTGGATGCAATCATCAGGGCGCACAGAATAACCACCTCGGAATACACGGCATCGCTAGGCTGTTGAATAGGGCCCGAGGGCAAGGTGTGGCGCTTGGATGCCGCAGGGGTCTGCCGCGATCGAGGGTAAATCATCCGCCAGCTGTTGCGGAACCTGGTTGGCAAAGCATCCAGAATGCAGACTGCGAGGGCGATGGTGTCCATGGAGAGGTTGGCCCGGTTGAGCATGGTCTGTACCACGGCCACAGAAGGCATTTCCCATGAGAGACCCGAGGGTAGCATCCGGGTAAGATGTATAGCTGAGGCTGCGAAACGCGACTTTGATTAGCTCGAATGCTTCCGCTACAATCCAAAAAAGCAACAGGATATTAGTTACCTAGAAACTCCTCATTGCGACCCTCCGCGTCCCCAGCCGGGATGCGGGGGCTCTGAGTGGCTGACGAATTCCGGGACGATGGCGGAGGTGTAGGCAAGTTAGAAAGCGGTTTGTAGAACTTTCTGAAGCACGCCTCGTCAAACTCGAAACCGTCGTTGACGGAGAAGCTCTTGTTGTGGCCCATTGTTAAGTAGTGTGGGTTTTGGTTGTGGGATTTGTGATGATTATAGTCGCTTTCTTAATCAGGGTTGTTGCAGCCAGAAATCGAGCCTACTCAAGCCGTGGCAAGAGACGGTTTTCATGCTCGAATGAAAAAAAAAAGATCCAATGGACTCGAGTCAGGAACAGAAGCCCTGGTTTGTGTGACACAGAATGACACAGAGTGAGTTGGTCCTGTATTGCGATGTTCGGGGGTTGCTGCTTCTTTCGTTGTTGGTCAAAGCGAGGTGAGGGCCAGACGCAAGTGAGGATTGCCGTGGTGTCTTATAAGTATATACGTATGCGAGACAATGGACAAGTTATGGTGATGTTCGGGGGTAGTGGAACGACGGGACGTTAGGCCAGTAGGCGAATCTGGAAAACGAGAGAACAGAAATGCCGGAGTAGAGACGAGAACGAGTCGATCAAATGTCGGGGAGAAGCAGGAAGAAATACAAAGCTAGAAGTATCCGTAGCTCACGACCATATATGAATTGGGCTGGGGCTTATGCAGGCCCGTACGCAGCTCACGCACGGTCCGGTCGTCAGGTTCATCAAGGTCCAGCTGTGGTGGTGGTGGTGGTGTAAAAGTAGCAGCGGTTGAGCGGTGCACCATGAGCCGGGACCCATCAGTGGACAAGGTACATCCGCAATCAACAAGGCTGAGTGAACACTGGGGACATTGATTTGGGGGAATTGGACAGTGGGAAACACTGGATACTCGACGAGCAACAATGTACGTACAGAATACGTACAGATCGTAACCGTGGATATCAAAGATGCCAGCAGGAAATGGCAAGGAAATGGCGCCGGAGCTAGAAGACTCGAGAGTTCGTAAGTTGCGCGGGAAACAAAACAAGCGCCCCCTCCCAGTTGTGGCTCCTCGAGGTGGTTTCAGCAACTTTCTTCGCATCTGAACAAGCTAAGAAATGATGCCATGGAGTAGAACCAAGTCGGTCCGTGTCTTTGTGGTTGTAACTTCTTGTCCTTTGGTCGTCATGCCGAACAACAAAGTAGGCTAAAGCTTGACTTCCTTTCTCCTTCTGGTTTAGCTGCCAGACAATATATATCAAAACCCATCAGAGATCAATCCATTTCGAATCCCCCTTCTTGTCTCTTCCACTCAGTTTGAACCTGTTGTTGATCGCGTGCTCTCGTACCTACACTGTCGGGACGAGACTCGGGGCATGAACTCAACATGAACCGCACCAGGGACTCGTACACAGTAGTTCGGATGGGCTCAAAGGGGGTACATTGTGCTCTCCGACACGGCACTGCTAATTGGGTGCATATTGGTCCGTCTGCATGTACCTGCTTGACCTGCTTTGCTGCACCGCCTCCAGGCTAAACGAGGGTCAGGCAGGGCCTGATGGTGCCATCTCTGTACAGGGGCACCCTGTATAAAGGGTTCCTAGTTGTCTAGCACCTTGGGACGGACCGGTGTCTACAAAATAGCTCCAAGATCTAGCGGCGACTTCCGCGGAATAAAATTTGTGCATGAGCTGCCCAGTGCAGCCAGTGCAGTCTCTGTCAGTTCATGTTGGATTTCGTGAGGGTAATGCAAATGGGCTTGGAGGGGACACCCTTGCCGGTAACACTGCAGACGCCGACCACTGCATTCATTGACAGAATCTTATGATCTACTCATTTGGTGAACGCCTATACGACGGCCCGCCCGAGCCTGCTGCAGGTCCATTGTCGCGGTATACGATCGTATTTTTTCCAATATCTTTGTTCGATGCCGACCGAAGGACAGAAAAAAAAAAAAAGGGGTCCATCTGTGTACAGTCGGTACACAGGACTCGTCGGACGTGTTAGCCAGACAAGACTCAGCACTACTCCGTACACTACCCTACTTGCGGATGCTCACCGCTAAACCTGAAGAAAATAAAAAATGGACATGGGTGAGAGTGCAGATCCGTGGATCTCATCGTATTCCAATGCCTTGGGCCGCTGATGACTGGCAACCAGCCAAGCTCCTGCTCCCCTTCTCAGTGCGAAATACCACCTCTCAGGTGGCGTTGTGAGACTGCATTTCATGGTAAATGGAGGAAACTGGAGCATCGTACACTATATTTCCTTACGAGGCCCAGTAAATATCGCCCCATTCCTATCAAATCTGCTATTCGGACTTGCTGCATTTCGTAAAAACTTCATCTGAAAAATGCGCCCATGAACGAGACCCGACAAGCCGAGGATTGCATCAAACACGCAATGGAGTGGTTGATGCTTTTTCACTTGCATACATACGAAGACTGCCTGTGGATACTCGGTTTTTCGGATGCGAAAAAAAGAAGACAGACCATTTTGAATCCAATATAGTGCATTGGCTACTAATGGATTACTGTGTACTGGCGCGCATTGCCCAGTTTGGTGTTTAATGACTTGACGCATGCGAAGCACGTGTCGAGGTGTCAAGGGCCATACAAATCAAATCGAATGTTCTCTTGCGGTGAAAAGCTCGTCTTACATCCCATCAGACGTACATCATTATCTTAATTCCTGCATGTAGTTGAACCACGTTGACGGGAAAAGACAACAATTAAGAAGAAGAAAAAAAAAAAAAAAGACGCGATTCACGTATCCTCGTCTCCGAGCCCTCGTATCACGAACACGAAGCAAAGCGCAGTCCCTCCCTTCGGGTGCGGTAGATGAGAAAGGCAGTTGATCTTCAGGCACACTGACTGTGGTGCCGACAATCCGGGGAAATCGATGCAGGTTTTCTCAGGGATTTTCATGATGTTGCCAGGCTCCCATAAAAATATCGATGTCTATCAGCTGCAGTCCCGCTATAAAACCCTCCATCTGTTGCGCCGGTCACAGGAGAAAAGGGACGAGGCAGGTTGGCAGGGCCCAAAGAGGACCCCACTACCCCCACAGCCGTTTCTTCTTTTTTCGCCGCCCGTTTGCCGCAATTGTGATCTGCCAGGAGGATGCAACAGTGAGTGGCTGGCAAGCTGACCGAGGCGCTGCGATTCTAAAAACATGAAAACCCTTGGCTGGTCATGACGTGATGGTTGGATATGGTCATTCGTTCAGCCAAAATGTAGTGGTCTCTGTACGACCAGAAACTCCGATTTCCGCATTAATTTCTGCCATCGTATAGCAGCACGTATTGTTAAAAATGTGGTCTTATACTATCCACTTGTTTGCATTCTCGATCCACCCAGGTAACCGTAATGATCCCGAAGCACTCTATCTGCATGCAACAGATCCAGTGTTGCATCTAGGTAGCAAAGACCGGCAGTACCTTTCTAGTCAGGCTGTAGCTTGTGCTGTCTGGTTGTCTCCATTTGGGGAAACACATTTTCCATCGAGATCTACTATCTGTTGCTTGAGAAGTGAAGGGTTCCATGTCTCCGGCATCTCTTCCAACCGGCCCGTCTCTGCCCAAGCGCTTCTAAGTTTATACACCCCAAAAATTCGTGCTTTGAGGTGCAGGCTGCTGCTGGCTTAGACGCGGCCGAAAGAAAAATTTACCCTCGGTGTCAGCTTCTTGGTGGGTCTCGTCTTCGGCCGGGAGCCCTCCGTGGTTTGGATTTGTTTGATGCCTGACATGAGGCTGACAGTTTCCGAATCCTTCGGCTAGTTCTCCAAAGAGAAACTTGTTTACTAGCCCGAGAAGAATCAGAATTTTACGCTTTTTATATCGCCATTGGTACGTCATCAACAGCGAGATCTGAAATCAATCGGTATATTTCACAGGGCAACTAATATATCGACTACGTGCCGAGAAGAATATCATTGTGCGAAGATGCTCATAGTATTGACTTGTGGCGGTTGAATGACAGACACCTACTGATACTCTGAGAGCAAGCCATGATCATTTTGAGCCGCTTGTTCATCAAACAAGAAAACGGCAATGCGCCATAAGCATTGATATGATCAGTAACCTGGGTAGGGTATCAACACAGCGCCTCCTAACATTCGCATTCGCGCCTGTAATTGCATGAGATAATGCTCAGAAATCGATTAACATGGATTTCTGGGAGCTGACAGTCCATTCTTTGCTCCTGAATAGATCGGACTAGGCGTAGGGAAAATCTCGAAACCAATACATCGGGCATGGTTTAAGGGAGCACGGACTGTAAGGAAATATATGGTTAACGGAAGCCAAGGGGGATTATGAAATAACGAAATTATAAATAACAGAGATCACCTCCTGCTCAATATGATGCCTCCATAATCTGGAATGGGAACCTCATAGTCGCTATAATGGAACAAGTCAAGCTCAGACGGTAACCTCTTCCGCCGAATCCCCTCTTTCTCGCCTTGCAACGATAGAAGATTTGATAGGCGGAAAATTGGCCCATGACAAGTCTGAGCTTTCCATTTACAATATAAATGTGGCTAGGAAGGCGCAGAGATTTTGCATGCAGTACTCCAGTCACTTGAACATTGGCCAAGTCACTGGCTCCTTCCCAGGAACTCATAAGTGTTACCACTTGAGGTCGAAATGATCGTGCCTTCCGTCTCACGAGATGGAACATTCACAGGGAACTCAACAGTTTGAGCACCACCTAGACGTGCTGCATCCTATATAGATATATGGAACTTCCATGTCTTTGCTCCTTGGCATACACTGCCGCTTTGTGTCTGTGTTCTCATTGTGAAGGCCCATGGCCTCGTCCAAACTTGGAATCACGGGTCCTGACATCTAAGCATCAAGTCATGATCATGGCCTCGAGAACATCTCGCTCAAAGTCAGGATCAGCACATCAAGGTAAAGTGCTTAGTCGTCGTGATCCCGTGCCACTTGGCAAATCTCGTCTCCAGACGCAGTCAGCAAATGCTCAGACAGCCCAGACACGGATTGGGATTACATCATATCGCACGAAGTCTGAAGGACCTGCAAGTCTCCACGAATCAGTCCAGACTCCAGGAAGAGACACCAGCGGACCACTCCGTGTGCGCGCAAACACCAAGAGGCGAAGATCGGTGACAGCAAATCTCGAACAAGCAAGTCAGATTCGAAATTCAAGGTATGAAGGCATACTTTCCACGTCCGTGTGCCTGAAATTCGAACTGTCCAGCTAATCTCATACCCCGAATAGCAGGAGTCCACTGCGCTCGAGTGCTAGGCTCGCTTTCCCTTCATATGGTGGACATGGCAACAAAGACCTATCACGTGAAACTGATGCTAAAGGCCATCCATTTAACGAGCGTGTCAGAATTTCAGCTCGTGAAGATGCTCCTCAACGTGAACCTTCAAGAGGTAGACGACGCTTTCGAAGTCCAACCCCGTTTCCAATCGTCCAAGGCACCCAAGTCGTTGCAGCCATCCAGGAAATTCCCGTGTCGGGACATGAAAGAACACGACCGCATAGTGGCCGACCGACAGAGAAACCCCATGATGCGGAACAACCTATCGGCCACAACATCGACAAAACCACGGTTCCTCGTGCGAGAGCAAAGACGCAAGATTCTAAACGGAATGCTTGGCGAGCTGTGAAGGGTGGATTCTTGGTTTCCAGAAACGTGCAAGCTGAAAATTATCTCTTTCCCATACGAAAGGGTAAACCAGACCCGGTATGGCGAGCAGGCGACGGTTTCTCAGACGAGGAAGCTGCCCCGGACTTTCTCTTCTATGTCACGGGACAGAAGAAGCGCATGAAACCGGCATCAACGACAGATTTCGGGGTCCTCCCTCTTCTTCCAGCTATGGATGAGCATCCAGGTAGCATCCGACATTCTCGGAAACGACGAAAGGTGGGCGAGAGTTCACTGATTGACCGTGCGGCACTGTTGCGCGGAGTCGCAAACGAACCATGGCCAACGTATAAGAATTTTATGGAGAGTAGCTTGCCTGCTCGCACACAACAGAGCTTGATTCAAGACCATGCCGCTGTCCGCACGCATCTTTCCAATCAAGTTCAGTCTTCCTTGGAAAAAGCCACACCCAAGCCTCAATCAACATATCAGTTGCTTGCACGGTATGGGAAAAGCCCTTTACATTTCAAGGGGCGTGTCAATACTGACAGGCCGGATGCCCGAGGTGCATATATTCCCCAGTCATTGCCCACAAGGCCTCTGAGTCTTTCAGGTTCTGCAGGCGATAATGGCAGGGAGTCGTCCATAAGTTCCGATCAAGACTCTCAGAGCAGTATCGTTCCAAAGACAGAGCCCAGCCTAAGCGGATCTGACGAGGGTACGCAATCGGACAGAACCGACACTTCTGACCAATCTGACCAGACTATTCGCTCTTTTTGGGCCGCAGACGGGAGCCATTTTTACCCCGAGGATAATCTAGTGCAGAGAGGAGTGGCTTCACACTTCTCCAACGGCGATGATGATGATGATGAAGACTATTAGGTGAAACCAGAGGAGAATTTCCTCGACGAGCATGCTATGGCGCCAAATCACTCTATAGACAGGGCTCATTAGCGGTCTCAAAGATAAATGACCTCAAGAGCCGCGGCGGCGTTTCACTGCTGGCGATGTTGTTATAACTGTACAATTTACTACAGGGCCTTGTTCCTATCTGGGAGTACACGATATATCTGCTGGTGGAGTGGTGTATATATCCATAGCTGTCTTGTCATTTCGTGTCGGATCAGACCACAAGTCAAATCTGCACTTGAGCACGAGTTTCAATGCCATCAAATCTTGGTACACGAGCTTCGCATAGGTTTCGATGAGTGCAAATATCTCAAAAACATCTTGTAAGTCCTGGTATATTTTGCTCTGCCGACAACGCCGATGCGCCAAGTGATAAAACCCTGAGCCATGCAATATAAGTCATCACGAATTGTGTTGTAAACATCGCCCGCCAAGCACGACCAAATTCAAATGTGAGGTCAAGGTTCGGAAACTAGATTGATTGCACCCTTTATTTGGCGCCCTTACCCTTGGCTTCTGTCTCGCCCAATTCTCTGATGACAACCTTTGTCCGTCCTTCTCCGCTGTAGTCTTCCATGCCAGTCTCAAAGCCCGGGCACACGCCAATGGCAAGGTATTTTCCATCACTCGAGAAAGCCAGAGATGCGACACTATCGGGAAACTTCTGGTAGATCTTCATGCGGCGCTTCGCTGCGGCGTCCCATAGCGCGACTGTGGCATCACCTCCACCGCTGGCAAAGGTGCCAAAGTTCGGGTGGAAGGCGAGAGCATTGACGGGAAAGACGACGTCGGCGCCGTCCTCGGGGCTGGTCTGGCGGTGACACTTGAAGGCGTACTTGCGGGCCTGCGAGGCCTCGGAGGCGTCGAACCACTCGACAGCGACACGGCCCTCAATCGAGGACGTGGCGTAGCCGGCGTCCGAGGGCATGGCGGCGACGGCCCGGGTCAAGAACTTGAGCGACGACTCGCGCTGCTGCCAGGGCTCGGGCACGGCGCCGGATTGTAGCGAGGCGGCTAGTGTGTTCAAGTCGTAAATGTGCACCAGCCGCGAGGTCATGGCGACGATGACTTTTGAGGGCGAGGCGGCGAGCGCGTGCGGCTTGCCGGGCAGTGGAATGGTCAGTGGTGTCAGGGAAGTGTCGGATGGGTTCAGCACGTGGAGGGTGCTGTCCCATGAGGCGGTGACTAGTAATGCTGTTGAAAGGCACAATTGTCAGCTCAGGCGCAGTTGCCAATTGGCAAAGAGATGGCGTGAAGAGGTGAGTTCAGGGAGTGGCTGTTTGTGAAATCACATGGCCAACATACAGTGTTCCCGACTATAGACAACCCTCCTGACGGGCGCCGTGTGCTTGCTGACGAGCGTCATGTCACCACTACTGAGATCGATCCGCCGCACCGTCCAGTCCATACCGGCGCTGAAAGCCTCGTCGTCGTCGGCGCCAAAGCACACGTCCATGACGGGAGCGCGGTGCTCAAAGGTCTGCAACAGCGTGCCATGTCCGCTTTCACTGTCGCTGTGGGTGTCGTAGAGGTAGACATTCTTGTCCCAGGACGAAACGAGCAGGCGGGTGGGCGAGGAGGGCGCAAAGACGAGTGACGAGACCGCATCGTTTGGCGGCTGCGCGAGCTCGAACTGTGTTGCTGTGCTAATGTTAGCAAGACGAACTCGCTCTAGATGCTTCGAGAGCAATTAGATCTGGGAAACTCACAGGGTGCCATGGTTTTATTCCTAAAGATATTGACTTGATTGCGCAATGAACTTGTCAATGTCGTCTTGAAGCAAGAAAAAGCTATGGACGAATGTTTACCAATTGCAGCATCTAATCCAGGTACCTAGGTAGGTTACCTACCTACCTACGTACACAGACCCCTGCTGTCGATAAACAAGAGCTCCCCGGGGATCCTGCCAATTGTCACCGCCTAAATTTCCCAAGGCTTGGCATGCGTCGGCGGGGCATTTGGTCGGATCGCTGGGAGCTTCATCCCACTTCCATGTCGTCTGTCTCTTCTGGTTGCTTCTGAGCCGTTTCATTTGTAACTATCGTGACTGCATTCGCGACCCAATAAAATTTCTCACAACTCCTCTCTATGGTCGCAGAAACATACACCACATATTAAGGGTCTTGCGCAGTCTCTCCAGCAGACAAAAATGCCTTTTGCTCAGCTCGTGCTGGGCAGCCCGGGTGCTGGCAAGAGCACCTACTGCGATGGCAGTAAGCGCATACCCCGCCACCACCGGTGAGCCTCAAGAAAGTGGTCACCAAAGACTGACTAGATTTGGTCACAGTGCATCAATTCATGAGCGCCATTGGTCGCGACTGTTCAGTCGTTAATCTAGACCCTGCCAACGACCGAACAAACTATCCTTGCGCTCTAGATATACGGAAGCTGGTGACCTTGGAAGAGATCATGTCCGACGATTCCCTGGGCCCGAACGGTGGTGTGTTATATGCATTTGAAGAGTTGGAGCACAATATGGAATGGCTCGAAGAGGGACTGAAGGGGCTTGGAGAGTCGTATGTGCTGTTTGACTGTCCCGGCCAAGTCGAGCTGTATACCCATCACAACTCACTACGGAACATATTCTTCAAGCTTCAAAAGATGGGATACAGAGTACGTATAATGTGCCTCGAGTTCCCGACCGCAACTCTCGCGGCTAACCTTTTGTACAGCTGGTGGTTGTGCACCTTTCCGACTCCTTTTGCCTCACGCAGCCTTCTCTCTATGTCTCGAACCTCCTTCTGACCCTCCGTGCGATGCTGCAAATGGATCTCCCGCACATCAACGTCCTTACCAAGATAGACAAGGTTGCAGACTATGACAAGTTGCCATTCAACCTCGACTTTTATACCGAGGTGCAGGACCTGAATTACCTCCTTCCATACCTCGAGGAGGAGGCACCATCTCTTAGGAGCGACAAATTCGCACGGCTCAACCAGGCAGTGGCGGATTTGGTGGAAAATTTCGGTCTCGTTCGGTTCGAGGTGCTGGCAGTTGAAAACAAGAAGAGCATCATGCATCTCTTGCATGTCATTGATCGGGCGGGAGGGTATGTCTTTGGAGGCGCAGAGGGAGCCAATGACACCGTCTGGCAGGTGGCTATGCGCAACGAATCCTCAATGCTGGAAGTCCAGGATATCCAAGAACGCTGGATAGATGCAAAAGATGCATACGATGAAGCCGAGCGGAAGGACGACGAGGAGCAGGCCGCAAGACTCGGCCACACTGGTACGGGGGCGACGACCCCGGACCTTGTGACGGATGATGGGGAAGATGACGAGTTTGACGGTTTTCCTCCACCGCCGTCAGGAGATAGTGGCGTAAAGATAGTGAGAAGAAATCAATGATACCCCTTTCAGCTATCGCTGAAGTCTGCCATCTCCTCGTCTTCAAGCTCGGATTCATCATCAATGTCCACAGTGTTTTCTTTCGAAGCGGTTTGGCGTGTTCGTTTGCCTTCGTTCATGATGGCAGCCAAAGCGCTGTTGCCCTTTGCGCCGGCCTGATCCTTGACCGCGAGCATCATGTCCCGGGCGCGCCTGATGGCCTCTTCTTCAACCCTTCTTATGGTCCCGCTGACGTGCACAACACGGAACGTGCAGAGTTTGCCGTCGCGGACGGGCACGTGGTCCATCATGGTCAGCGCGGACCAGACAAGGCGGTAGTGGGCGCGATTGACGCGCAGGATAAACGTCGAGGTGGCCGGGGACAGGTACTTGACCTGCAGGCTGGAGATGGCGCCCGACCCAAAATCGCCAAAGAGGATCGCGACTTGGGCGCGCAGCTCGCGCAGCAGCGCATTGCGGTCAAACTTGTCGGTCGTCGGCTGGTTGAGGGCGATGAGGTCGGGGGTCTTGGGCGACGGCTCGGCCGACAGCTCAGTCGGGTAGAGGATGTTGACGAGGAGGTAGCGCTCCTTGATGCGGACCATGGTGCCGCGCAATAGCCCAAGAGAGGGACTATATTTGTGGAAGATGCTTTGGCTCCGTGCTTTAAAAGAACAAAGCGCAGGTGATCATATGTCAATGGATTCCCGATGTGATTCACTTGGCGCAAGTCCCGTCCCTCACTTTTTCAATATGGGGGAGCTTTATCTTATCGTAACCCCCTGTAGGACCTTGTACGTATACTGCGTCAATGGGTGGGGCCCGGACTCGATCCAGAGACTCCGCGCCTATTCTTACATCCGGTCTTCATCCGCTCAACATAATAGACGGCCGGAACCGCTTGGGTTGTTGTTCAGAATATTTTGGATAGTCTCTATTGATTTTTTGGACTCGAAAGGATTAAAGGTGTACTTTGACTCTGTTTCCTATTGAGGATGTCGTCAAAGTTGAAGGCTGCGATTCTCATCGTCTCCACGACGGCTGCCAAGGATCCCAGCAAAGATGCGTCGGCAGAGATCTTGAAGGATGTCTTGGAGCGGGAAGGCGGAGGGAACTGGGACTTGGTGGAAACCAAGATTGTGCCAGATAAACTTGATGAGATACAGGGCGCGCTCAAACTCTGGTTCACGAAACAAGTCAATCTGATTTTAACGACCGGAGGAACGGGCTTTGCTACATCGGATAATACTCCCGAGGTATAATTATTTCCAAGATGCGAAATAAGTCTTCTTTAAAAAGCACAATAGCTAACTTTGAATATAGGCCGTATTGCCATTGCTGCAGAAGCAAGCGCCCGGGCTTGTACATGGCATGCTAGCGGCATCGTTGAGTGTCACACCGTGTAAGTGACCGCTCCTCGATTTATACTCGACGACGAATCTGACCAGAGGTGATAGTTGCAATGATGTCACGTCCAGTTGCTGGTGTACGAGATAATTCCCTCATCATCACTTTGCCCGGATCGCCAAAGGGTGCAAAAGAGAATCTACAAGCTGTCCTCAAGACCTTACCGCATGCCTGTCTTCAGGCGGCCGGCATGGACTCTAGAACTTTGCATGCCGGAGGAATCAAGAAGCTTGAATCTGACGCAGGCATCAAGTCAGGCGAAGCCGCACGTACACATTCACACGGTCATTCTCACCACACCCATGGACATGATCATGGGCATGGTCATTCGCACGGTCACAACCACGGCCATGGCCATGGGGGACCCGTACGGCATACTGCTCCTGGAGCTAATCCATTATCAAACGATCCTAGTTTGGGGCCCAGTAGGAGAAATCGCGAATCGCCATACCCCATGCTCGAAGTAGACGATGCCCTCGCCCGCATCCGAGAGAACACTTCGGCGCCAGTGACTGTCAATGCTAGGGTAGACCGGTCACTGCCGGGATCCGTACTCGCAGAGGACGTGAAAGCCAGGGCAAATGTCCCAGCTTTCCGTGCCAGTATCGTTGATGGGTATGCCGTGGTCGTTCCCAAGGATGGTAATTTGAAGGGCGTTTTCCCCGTCGTTTCGGTATCTCACGCAGCTCCTGGTGAAGGGTTCAAGCATCTGAATGAAGGGGAGATTGCTAGAATCACCACTGGTGCACCTCTACCTCCCGGTGCCACGTCAGTGATCATGGTTGAGGATACCGTACTCAAGACGATGACTGATGACGGGAAAGAGGAGAAGGAGGTCGAAATTCTCGCAGACGGCGTCAAGGAAGGCGAAAACATTCGTGAAGTCGGAAGTGATATCGAGAAGGACACTCTCATACTTGGAAAGGGCGAGCAAATTTCAGCGGTGGGTGGAGAGATTGGTCTGCTCGCTGCGGTTGGTGTTGCCGAAGTCAAGGTGTACCAGAAACCAATAGTCGGCGTGCTATCAACGGGAGACGAGATCGTCGAGCACGACCGGCCCGGCGAGCTCAGACTTGGCGAGGTTCGAGACACGAATCGCATCACCCTCATGTCAGCGGCACAAGAACACGGCTTTGAAGTGGTGGATCTGGGTATCGCGTCGGATAAGCCCGGTACCCTCGAGGAGACCCTGCGTGATGCGCTGAGAAAGGTGGACATGATCATCACCACGGGCGGAGTCAGCATGGGCGAGTTGGACCTGCTCAAACCCACCATTGAGCGCTCCCTCGGTGGCACCATTCACTTTGGCCGCGTGGCCATGAAGCCCGGGAAGCCCACCACCTTTGCTACCGTTCCCTTCAAGAGCAATTCGGGCGAGCGTATGAACAAGATCATATTCTCCCTTCCCGGAAACCCGGCATCGGCTATTGTCACCTTCCACCTCTTTGTCTTGCCATCGCTGCACCAAATGTCTGGAATCGAGCCAGCTGGGTTGACCAAGGTGCCGGTATCGCTCGCTCATGACTTTTCCCTCGACAAGCAGAGACCCGAGTACCACCGAGCCGTAGTGAGTATCGGCAAGGATGGGACGCTCAGTGCAGAGAGTACAGGAGGGCAGAGGAGCAGCAAGGTGGGTAGTCTCAAGGGTGCCAATGCATTGCTATGTATGCCGGCTGGTAAAGGTCCCCTGCGCAAGGGAGAAAAGGTCGATGCCCTGCTCATGGGGGCAATCAGAACCGAGTTCTAGTTGATGAATGCTGAGAAAGGTATTATTCTATGGGCGGCAATATAGTTCACCACAGTTCATCATTGATTGTTGAATATCACAGCATGTATCAATTTCAACTGGACAAAAAAAAGAAAAAAAAAGCAATAAACACAGGAATACTACCTAGGCATGGCATGGTTCAAGTCGATTGTAATGAGATGTGACTGGTAAGCGAGGGCGTCTTGAAGGTCATAACTCTCATCGCTTTATACAAGAAGCTATGAGAGCCAAGTAATGAAGGAAGTCTGATCTTGCCTAACAATCGGGTAAAGAAACCAAGAAGTATGGATATTGCGGTGGGCTCCAAGAAGGACGATGTTCACCATTTTGTTATGTTGGCCAGTTCAAAAAGTATCATGCAGCCAAGGTTCATCTCGGCGACTTCTTCACTTCCATTGGGCAATCGTCGTCAACATAATAAATAACTGACTGTCTAGGGTTTTACCTAATCGTTTAACATTGCTCAGGAAAATGCACAATTAAAGGTGCAGAGTACATGACTGTCAAGGCAATTTTCAGGTCTTGTCTAATGTGATTTCCAAGATGCCAGTCCTTATGTACTGATTGTTGGACCTGGGATTGTAGGGTCGCCGTTTGATCGGACAGAAAGTAAAAGAAGACAGCGTTTGTTCGGACGACGATTGTTCAGACGACAATGGGCGCCGGCCAGGCTCAGATCTGCGGCGCCTGGCGAATAGGCACAATCAGTAACCTGAAAACCTGAGGCACCCGCGGTTGTGAAGATTTATAAATCCAGGCCTCGGATCCCACCAAACCGCCGATGGAATTCTTTCATTCACAATTTTATCCCACACCGGGAAGCTTCTCAACACCACCTTTCTCTTTGACTCCCTCATCGGGTCAAAGAGAAGGAAGCTTGGGCTTAGCCATGATGAGCCACGACGACTCGAACCCAGATATAACATCACGACTCCCCTCAAGGTATGTCTTTTCCATAAACTCTTTTGGCACTCTGCGCCGATAACCATGAACGCAATACTAACTGCCACCCACACAGGTGGACAAACCTAGATGCCAAGAGAAAATAAAAAAAAATTAAAAATTAAACAAAGAAAAACAAACACCCACGCCCACACGCACACTTGCTCGACATCCACCATGACGACCTCAAAGTCCTGCCTGGGCAAAAAAAAGGAACACAACCATCAAGATGTTGTACCCCAGGTTGAAGCTGGCAGCCTCATTGCCAGCTCACCCCCCCTCTCTCCAACCACACTCCCAATGTGGCGGCCAGCCACACTCTCTAAGCATTTCTGTCTACTCCGCAGCCATACCGTCGTCTAGGCATGGAGTTCTACCTGCCCATTGGCAACCGGCAGCTGTGGACCCTATTCATCAATACCCTCTCACCCCTCCGATCTGCATGGCCTATCCCCATGCCCCTCCATGAGTTCACCAACAACATTCAATTCCAGCACCACAATGCCGAGATGGTCTGGCAGCAGGAACGACGGCTCATAAATCAGCAGACGCGTGTGCAAGCCACGAGACGTCGTCTTCCGTGCGTGGGAGGAGACTCTGACGTGCGGCTGGTACAACGTCGGATCTTATGACTGGCCAGACCAGGTGAGGAGTTTGATCTGGACCCCCAAATACGTAAGTTGCAAGACAGACTCTCTGATGACACAAGACAACTAATAGAATGAGGGGAATTAGCCAACGACCTCAAATTTGCCAACTATCAGGTTGCTGTGGTCTTTGACCCGGAGAATGGAACCGTCGAGGTTCGCGTTCACAGATCGCTTGATCGGACTGTTCCAAGGTTCCCTGTCTTTCTCCCCCAGCGCGCGGTACCGTCGACGCCCACGAGACCATGAAGAAGTTTTCAGTTCATGTCTGGCTTCTTCTCGACTTGCAGCACTCGTCCTGATGGGTTAACAATGACTATTGAAATCTGAGCCTTTATTCAAGGCTTAGTGACAACCATGTCACTAGGCAGTAGTGGGAAGGATCCCGAGTCCCCCCTTTGACCGATGGACGTTGGAGCCCGTGACATCCGACCCCTTATGGACTACATGTAGGGACGAATGACCAATCCCTGCATTCTTCAAAAAAAAAAGAGGGAATGAGAATGAGGACAATGACGAGGACCCGGAGTTCAAAGGGCAGGGACGTAATCAAATTTGTTTTTTTTTTTTTTTTTGGACGGGCTTTAGAGCAAAGAGAAAAAAAATAATTGACCGCTGTGAAAAATGGAATAATTACGCATGGTTCAGCAAACATGTGACCTTGTCTGAACTGGAAAGTCATGCTCAATGAACTGTTGGCTCCACTGCAGGTGCTGGTAATGAAAACTCTTTCTCTTGTCCTTGGACTTCCAAAGACCTTTACCTATCCCAAAGTACCGGTATACGCCATCTCCTGTCGATCACAACCTGTTCCGTCCCATCTTTGTTCTTCTGTTCAACGGAAGTTGAGACGAGTACATTAGTGTTAGGCTTGGGCTGGCCCCATGGTCAGACGAGGCGCAAGGCAGACGGGCTGAGGGCAGATTGCAGCTTCTTGTGGATGCCGAAAGTATATGGCCATACTCATCGATGAGCTGAGGTTGGGTATTCCAGGAATCCAAGCCACAGCATATGCAAAATGTACAGGAGAAAGGGCACCAGAATCCGACCTCGCAACTGAGTAGAAAGTTTATATGCTTCTGTTTTCCCTGTTTCTGTCTAAAATCATATTATAAATGAGGCGCCTATAGTTATATTGCTGTTGCAGTTTCGAAAATACTACACAATGCAATTTGTCGCACAGGAAACCATCTGCCAAACGCCGGGGAATCCATTTCGAACTCCGAATGCTTGTGTGATACTACAACATACACCCTACTTTCACATCGTGTTAACCAACAGTGGTATTTTTTCTTTAGAATTCTTTAACCCTTCCAGCCAAAGTCGTTTGCCTTGCCAGAGAGCAGGAGACCGATGATGAGACCGAAGAGACCGAGGACGGAACTGAAAATCTCAATGACGAGGATCTTGACGAAACTTTCTCACATGTTAGCCATCGTGCCAGCATACCAAAGATATTCACGGGGTCTTCTTACAGAGTTGCGTCTGCTGCATCGGCCAAGGCCGCTCCACTACCGTTGATGCCAACAGCAACACCGCAGACCAGGTTGCAGCCTCCCACGGTAAGACCAGCCCAGAAGAGGGCAAATCCAGTGTAGTAGGCCTGCGCATCAAAAGCGGCGGCATCGTCGACGAATCCAACCTTGGAGGAGAAGACGATGGCCATGATGACTCCGTAAATGGCGACGACCTCGCAGAAAATGATGGAAATCAAGTTCTTTGTTCGGATCCTAGGTGCCTTGACACCAGCACCGAGAATAGATGAGCCAGTGATGAAAATACCCCTATCAGTTGGTCAGAATCCAGTGTGGGAAGAAGAAATGCCCGTGGTTTGTTCGTACCATGCTGCTCCGACGACGGAAAGACCGATGCAGAGGGCGATGCCCAGATCTGCCCACGCATACGGCGAAATCGATTCAATGAAAGCTCCAACCTATTCCCTCTGTGTGAGTATATCATCCCCTTATTTGTAGATTGCGATCGTGGAGGTGGGTATTTACGTTGAACGATTGGCCGCTGCCGGTGAAGAGCATGTCTGTAAACAAGCAGTCAGTTACGTCAATCTTGCCAACAGACGAGAGCGCCCAAATGATGACGACAACTTACAAGCTCCAACGACGAGCAGAGCTGTCGAGGCACTGCCCAGACCATAGTACAGAGCACCCATCTTGAGAGACTTTTGGATGCTGGAACGAGAAAGTCGATGAACAGATGTGGCGGCGCGGGAAATAGCTTGACAACAACAGCTCAACCTGGGGAGCTCACGGGATTATCGCGAGCGACGTTTAAGCTGCTAGGCAATGCCACACTCAACTGCAAGGTGCTCGGACTGGGACTCGGTTCAGGTCCCAGGCCCAATCAATCCCCAGGCACTGGCACCTGGCCAGCCAAGCTAGGTGGGCATGGACGTCACGGCTCCGGGTTATACTTGGCTCCGGCTGCAAGCTAGGTCATGACTGCACAAAAAGTTTTTATGTACTTGTGCACAAGCTCCATTGGATTATGAAACATCTTTCTGTGACTCAATCGATCATTCAATCAGCCCCGCCAAGCGAATCGAGGGGCAGCTGCAAACCCAAAGCTCTTTCTTTCTATGCAGTCCCAAAAATCTACAAAAATCTCCCCCACCAATAAACGACGTTTTGCAACCGAGTCCACGATAGATTTGTATAATTTGCCTGCAAATTCGTAGGCAAACCCACCACTTCAGCCAAACTGTCACTCCCCCGGCTCTTTCGTCCTGCTTTTCGAAGCATCGCATCCATCCGAGCATACACAATGGCTGCCATTTCGTCCCAGACTTACACCCCCGCCGAGGAGACGGAGATTCAGCAATGGATCACCACTTCCGACCGTCTCAAGTCGTCGCCCTCCGACTCGTCCATCCTCGGGTCCTTGAACACTCACCTGTCGACCCGAACCACACTCCTCGGTACCAAGCCCTCCAAGGCTGATGTCTCAATCTACCAGGCCTTGGCTCCGGTTGTCGCCAAGTGGACTGCCGAACAGCGCACTGGCGAGCAGGGACACCCATACATTGTCCGCCACCTCGACTTTGTCCAGAACTCCAACATCTTTGGCCTCGACCTGAAGGACCAGGACAAGTTCCACGTTGACCCGGAAGAGGTCCTTTACGTCAAGCCTCCCGTTGATGCCAAGGCTGAGAAGAAGAAGCTCAAGGAGAAGGAGGCTGCTGCTGCTGCCGCCGCCAAGGCCGGTGGTGAGCAAGCCACTCTTGTCGACCGCACCAAGGCCGCCGCCGCCGCCGTCAAGGATACCGTCGTTGAGGCTGGCGCCGCTGTTGCTGCCGCTGCCGGCGTTGGTGGTGAACAGCAGCAGAAGCCCAAGGAGAAGAAGCAGAAGCAGCCCAAGCCTCAGAAGGCTCCTGCTGCCGCTGCTGTTCCCACGCCTGCTCTGATCGATCTCAGAGTCGGCCACATTCTCAAGGCCATCAAGCACCCCGAAGCCGACAGCTTGTACGTTTCCACCATTGCCATGGGTGACAAGGAGGTTACGGAGGACTACACAGAGTATGAGGGCCAAATTTGCCGAACTGTGTGCTCGGGTCTCAACGGTCTGGTGCCTTTGGAGGAGATGCAGGGACGCAAGGTCGTGGTTGTTGCCAACCTCAAACCCGTCAAGATGCGTGGTATCAAGTCCTGCGCCATGGTGCTCGCTGCGTCGCCCAAGCTCAAGGAGGGCGAGGCCGATGACCACAAGGGCCCAGTCGAGCTTGCGAGCCCCCCTGCTGATGCGCAGGCCGGTGAGCGTGTCTACTTTGAGGGCTGGGAGGGTGAGCCCGAGGGTGTCTTGAACCCCAAGAAGAAGGTCTGGGAGACTTTCCAGCCCGGCTTTACCACGACCGACAACCTCGAGGTCGCATTCGACGCTGGCGAGGTCAAGGAGACGGGCAAGACGGGACTCGGAAAGCTGGTTACTAAGAGCGGTGGCGTCTGCACAGTCAAGAGCTTGAAGGGTGCTACGGTACGATAAATCATCGGATCATTACCCAAGAAAAGATACCATGCAAAATCTAGAGAAATGTCGCATTCAGAGCAAGCAAACATTCAAATTGTGGCACACAAGACGATAAGATACCTTCCTGCGACTTGCCGAGTGACGTCTGATTCAGCCGAAAGTAGTTCAACACTTCTACGACGTGACCATGGTGAGAAAGTCGTCGTATAAATTGGAGACAAATGTAAGCGTCCAACAGAGGGATAATAGCAGTTCCCTCTCTGTGATCTCACCGTCCAAGGATATTTTCCCGAGAGAGGCATGCGGGCTTGGTGCGGTAAAGTGGCGTTGTCCTGGCATTCCTTTTCCAAACTAAAAAAGCCCTACAAATACCAGTGCCAAGCGACGGGAGCTGAGCTTGTCAGCACAGGTTGGTAACACTATTTTAGCATTTCCACGAATGGTCAGATTGAAGAGTTGCACGCGTCTGCAATCGATACGGGAGACAGCCGAATCGTGTCGGTTCCAGCAAATGGCCAAGGAAAGTTTGCCTAGCTGCCATGTTCCATGGTTCGTCGCACGAAAACGGCGAGTCCAAGGAGAAATGACGCCGCTGCACAGTTCAGACCACGGAACGGTCCCGTACCTGGCTTCCAAGGCAAGGCGACATGCTCTCAGACTCTGTCGATCCTATGGCCGCTTGTCCCGAGACTCAATTGATCTGCTTAGGGGACAGATCGGCAATACTATCGAAGGTCATCCCGTCTATGCCGTAGAGAATTTGACGACATTTTTCGAAGCGAGAAACATGCTTCTTCATTTGATGCATCAGCTGGACTCGTGTTTGACTGACCGAGAGCTTGGCAATCCTTCCAAAGTCCTTTTCAACGTCCCTTGATTATAGCGGTACTGCTTTCCGAAGTTGCCAACCTCACAGCCACCGCCGAGCAAATTAAGCCGTTGGCCCAATCATTGCCATCGTCGTCTTACTCTTGGCCTTGATTATTTACTTTGTCAATCCAATTAGGTTTACGGACATTCCTTCAACCCGGGGTGAATTAAGCTTATTGAGGTCTTGAAAAGGTGGGTCGAGCTCCATCAGTCGTATAAACTTATACTGAAGGTGAAAATCTATATGAATGAGCTCCAAACACTTTGCCTTTTGTCAATTAACACTCGCTCACAGACTTCACTTCTCCCACGTTTCTTCTAGAGTCCCAAAGAGATTTCTAAACCTCGATTGATCCCACAAGATGCTCTACCGTGCCGCTCTTCCCGCCCTCGTGGCTCTCTGCTTTAACATTGCCGGAGTGTGAGTCAAGCCAGCTCATTACATCTTTATCCTCATGACTAACGAATATGTATGTCAAGTGCTGCTATTCCAGCCGCTCAAATCACACCGGCGCCTGTCGTACGTGACTACGGAACAACACCAGAGCCAAGCATTCCTGGCAGCTGCTTGACAACATGGGATGACTTTGAGCACACCACTGGCGGCGTCTCGGTCAACTGCTTCACTTACACGAGCACCACTCGTCCAGGTAAGTCCCAAAGTTTCTTTGTTATCATGCCATGTACCACATTTTATTGGGAAGGGGCGAAAACACCCTCAAGACACCAAAAAAGACTTAAAACTCACGTATCTAAAACCCCCCAGCAAACTGCCCCGTCTGCACCGCAGACTCTACCCTCGTCTGTCCCCTCTTCATCTACGTCACCACCAGCCAGGTGCCCTGCTCCACCGACTGCTGCCCGACCACGGCCACGGCCTACGTCGACGGCGCCTGTCCCACGTGCGGCCAGTGCAACATTCCCACCGAGACCATTATCGAGACCACGGGATGTCCCGCCACGGCCACGACGACCGATGCCGCGGATCCCACCGAGACGCCGTCCTGTTGGTTGCCCGAGGGCTGCCCGGCGCTTTCTTCTTCTTCCGGGTACTAAATTTTCGCACTTTTGAAAAAAAGGGGCAGGGAGGGGGCATTTGATAGTTTGCTTGAGTTTCATGTCAACAGAGGGGGAGTGAGTGGAATCCTTATCATCAGTCTCGCGGGCTCAGAAGACATTCGTGGGCGCCAGGGAGGTATCTGGTTCTTTTAGCCTCTCAAAGGAAAACGAAAATACATCAAGGTATCTCCAAAACCATTGCCCACTATTCCGTGTGCTCACAATTGGACGTGACCATGATCAGTGTAATACCTAACCCCCTTAGGCTGTAAACAGACTTTAATCGTCTTCATCAGGAAACAAGACCTTGAAAGAGTTGTAAAAGCCGAGCTCGTTGTGACAGTGTGATGTGTGAAAGCGATCCGTGGGACCGGATTCAGCCGCACTCGAAAACCGAATGAGGATATAGAACCAAATTCCCGGGGCGCTCGCATATTGCAAGGGTGCCCGTCAGCAAAACAATATGGTGGCGGCTGATCTATGGTCAGCTTGTGGCTGCGTTGACCGTAAGCTAATTACAACAAGGGGAGGAAAGGCGACAAGACAGGAACCCCTACCCAAGGGGGAAAAAAAAACTGCGCTTTCTAGACTGTATTTTTTCTTTCTTTTGCAAACTATCTTTTCTATTTCATCTAGGATCGGAGTGATTTTAACCGTTTCCTTTGATTGGAAAGTATAGTACAGACTTGATGCATCCTCATCCTCTGGCGTCAAGCCACCGGTCCAATGCTAACCTTATCCAAAAGGTGCGTGCCCCCAGTAAATTATCATACAATGCATAATCATACAAAATGTACACAAAAATAGACACATCTGACCCTTCTTTTTTCTTTGTTGAACTGAGACGCCATTCCTTGTAAACGCCCATGAGATGCAATCGCTTTTAATGCCAGGCTCGTCGAAAAAGCCACGTGATATCGTACTCCACAACTATTCTCCTTGTTCACGAGAAGAAATATTGACTGTCCTTTAATTGTTTAACATCGAAATCGCCCTGTTAGGATTTCATTAGCATAAAAGAAACCCAGACTCGAGGGGAGTCGTCAAGGAATGGCGACTACGCACCTTTTTGGGCACTTCGGGGAATTTCAGCGGAAGCCAGATGCCCATCACAGAGGAATATATCGAAGTGTTTGAGGACCTCGACTTTGAAATCACATTCTCAAAGCCACTGGTTGAGAGTAAGGTCTCAACCTCTTTAGGGTTGTCTATTTTGAAATCCAGCAATTTTCTGTGAGTAGTCGTCGGCTTGTCTTCAAGGGCAGACTTGGCCATTTCGTCAGGAGATGGGACGTTGCCCAGGCCAACCTCATCAATCTCCCCCTTCGAGACCGACGCAGCAGTGCCGTTGTGCTCGATATAGATGCTTGCCGGTGTCCGCATCTGCTGGCCGCGCTGGACTTCCTCTGGGTCCGAGGACTTAAGAAGTCTCAATCGCTCGCGTTCCATGAGTACTTCATCCTGTGCTGACAGGCGCAACTCCTGACGGAGAGCCACGATCTCTTTCTCTGCTGCATTGCCAATCTCGAGCTTAGTTAGGTAAAGCGAGCCCTTGTACCGCGCCTCAAATTCGGATGCCAACCGCTCAATGACATTTTCGCTGTGGATGCGAATGAAAGAGTCTCGCAAGACTTTGTTCATTACATCGACATCGGCAGCGTGAGTCCAGAAAGAATCATGCACGGCTGCAAAGGTTAGGCCCATGGCATCGCATTCCAGAGCCGAGAGAAGCATGTGAGTAGCATCAAGGGAATGGATAAAGTTGGGCGGGAATGCCTGCAATTGCTTCCGTCGATTCACAGGATCAGACCGCTCCGGGATAACAAGATTCAGATCCTGCAGAGCTGTAGGAATGGTGCGGGTGCCGCCTCTCCGGTAAGGTTGCACAACTGGCAATCGCAGAGGAGTGGTCCAAACTATGGTTGATTTCCAATGGCTCATGAGATCGCTCGCAAGGAAGTTCTTTGTCGAGTTCTTGTTGACTACTTTCAGCGCTTTCGCCTTCTTTTTCGTTATTGGCTCTCCGGCAACGGCCTCTGCATTCTGTGCTTCGGTCAATGCAGCCAAGTTGTCAAGTTGCTCCGGACTTATAGCTCGGCACACACGACCAGCGCATTCAGCAAGCCAGTACTGGATGTCGTGAGCACCGCTGAACATGGTCGACAGGGCCTTGAAGATCTTGGATGCGACATAAGAAGCCAGGAGCATGGATGGCATGCCTGTTTCAGCCTCGATGTTGGGATGTGCCGCCTCAATCTGCTTGTGAACCTGTGCCCTAGCACCAATGAATGTGACACCGTAAACATTGGTCATAACCGTTTGTTTGACGACCTTGCGGGTGATCTTGCCATCCATGATCTTGCCAAGCTGGTTGTCCTTCTTGACGTCTTCTTTGATACTTTCCTTGACCAAATCCGCAACAGCAGAGTAGACATCAGCCGGACGATCTCCAGGCATAAGGTTGACTTGCTGCGCTCCCCAGCGATCACCTCCAAGAGCCGCGTAATGCTGAAGACCGTTGCAAGTGCCGTCCTGTTGGATGGGGAGAGCGGAGACATGCTTTGTGGGATCTGGTAGTTCCATGGCTGCTTTGAACTCAAAACAAGCCGCCAAGCATTGCCATGGGTCTTCTGCTTTCAGCCACCATCTCCCTCCGCTCAGAGGGTTCGTAGCTGAGTCGATGATTTCGGCCATATGCTCCATCGCGAATGCCTCACGCTCAGAAATACTGGCCTTGTCAAAACCAGCCACGTTGGATATTTGCACCTTGAGCCATCGGAGACCACTCTCGCCAAGCTCTTTACCCTCCGCAAAAAGTAGCATTCCACGGGTGTTATCGGCACCCATGTGATTCAGGTAGGTTGGAATGGGATAAGCTCGACCACGGAAATCCATGTTGTGTGGAAAGTAAAAGGTTTGGTCCTTGAAAGAATTGGCGATTTCCATTTGGAAGTTGATGAAGCAACGTTCCGAGTGAAGTCCTGCCTTTTCATTTTCAATAGCCTTGACTTGAGCAATCCAAACTTTTCTCGCCAAAGGATCGTCGGAATATTCAGGTTCTGGTGGAAGAGGTATGCTCGGATGCAGAGGGGGAAAGTTTGCAATTGCTTCACCGCTGTTCCATGCCTCTAGCATGACCCCGAAGACAGATCGGTTAATTCTCCATGCGGTCCGCCCAAGAACATCAAGACCTTTACAGACCTGGTCAAGGTCACCCCTCTTTATGGCTGCTTCGGTATAGACCTTCTGATCCTTTTCGCCATTCTTGATTCGAATAATGGACGTGGGAAATTCAAGGAATCCACCCTTGTCGAACTTGGACCAAGGCTCAGGTTCAACAAGCATAGGCAGATGTCGTGCAAGGAAGTCAGCCCGTGGCTCCTTTTTCATAAGCTCTGTCAAATACTTGTTGGGCATGATCATGCCGACCCTCTTGCCCTTCTTGAAGATGGTGGATTTAGCGAAAGAGGGTTGGACCTGGCTAACGAGCTCTTTGGTGTCTGGGTGCTCGCGAGTGACTGTGACTGTGGCTGTCTCAATTAGAGCTAGTGTCAGGAAAGCGCCGATTTTCGTCTTGATCACGACCGGCCAGTGGTCTGCATTTTGAATTGCCTCCTCAACATGCTTGATTACGCTATTTTCGGGTGAAGTGGAATCGGGCGGAGTGGTTTCAGGTGACGACGAAGCGGCCTGTTCATGTTCGGCTGCCTCGCGATGCAAGAAACGTCTCCGGGTCTTTCTCAATTTCCGGGCCTCGTGGTTTCGTTGGAGTCGAACATCTTCTTCGACGGCTTTGGCAAGAGCGGAGACGGCGATCGCAATGGTCGGTCCATTGTCACTGTCGGCTGACGCAGTCGAATTTAAAATACTAAGAATGGTGACAGCAGCAAGCCGGGCTGGATTGGACTGTCTCAAGAAGGGTGCAATGAGAATTTTGTCGAGATCATCGGATGACTTGGTCGGTTGAGCCTCGGCGATGTCCATAAGCTTCATTTCTTCCTTGATCCTCGTTTCCAGAGCGCATTGCCAGTCGTAGAGTTGACTGTTCAAGGCGTTCGTGGACAAGGATGTGTTCTTTCCCATCTTCATCAAAGCTTGGTGCTCCTCTCGCCATCGGTGGATCGCGGCATCAACGCAGTCCTTCTCCATCCGAGCCTGAATCTCACGTTGCTCAGCCAGAGGCAATTTCGAGATATCGACGCCTCGAATATCAGAGAAAAAGGACAGGACATGACGCAATGTCTTCAAACCAAGACCTTTTTGCTTCACGGCCAGGACCTCTCCTTCGGGATCAACGGCGCTGGCAGCATCAGCAGCAGCCGAGGCATCCTGCGAGCTGGCTTCAGTGGCCAGTTGCGATTCAGGGGACTCGTCGCCTTCAATGACCCACTCATCTGGTGAATATTTATGAACTGTGCATAGGCTGGTGATCTTTGCGAGATCCTGATCAGACAAAATATCCGAGTATTGGTACACCTTCCAACCTAGGTCTCCAGGTACCATGCCCATGTATCGGTCGATACGACGCTCGAGTCTTTCCGAATCCTGACCAGAAAGGAGAGAAATCTTCAGCATGTAGGCAATTGTCTTTGGTGTCTGTGGAAGGCCCTTGGCACGAATTTGTGTTTCGTACCATGATTGCATTGATTCAGCCCATTTGATATTTGGTTGCGAATAGAAACGCTCAATGTTGGCAGCGAGGTATTTGTTGTGAAGCTTTATCAGCTCATGCCCGGGCAGGAGATCATATTCCTCGAAGCGCTTGAGAACAAGAGCAGCTCGGTCGAGATGGGAGACCTGGAGGCATGCGTGAAATACGGACAGCATGGTCTCGATATCACCCGGAATACCTTGACCTGTTGTCCGTAGCCTGGCAGGTGGCTCGAGCTCGTGCTTGACGATGATGGGGTTCGAAGGGTCGAAGTGTCGTAATTCGTATGGAGCCAGGTTGCGCTGGGGTTGCGGCGACTGAGCATATGCTGGTATATTGAATGGCAAGTCCTCTTGGGCATGGGCATCATCGATGGCGGTAGCAAGTGACCTATCGTGCTGGGTGCCGTGGCTGACACGCTCGCTCCTCCTCTGCCATGGCAGCAAATCTGGTCGCGTGACGAGTAGTCTCTGACTTGAAGCGCCGGCGCCAGCAACGGAACGACACAGTGAAGATGTCGATATTACTTGAGGCCGTCTAAAGGTGCTGATCCGAGGGAGGGAGAGGCTCCTCTGAGCCGAGGGTCTGATGAACATGGCGACTGATTACCTGCACTTGTCTGCAAGGTACCAATCGCGCATGGAGGGAGAGGATGCCGCAAGCAAAGAGGCTGGGCTGAAGGAAAAATAAAAAGAATGAATTATGTACACATTAAAGATTGACCGTAAGGACACCGACTGCTGTGTGTCCAGGTAATATTATGATGAGACTCGACAAACAGACAGACAACAACAGTTGAATATCCCAGAGGATGAAAAAACAGATGCCGGAAGCTATCAGCAATCGAGGGTCATTGATAGGGAGGCGATAATGGAAAGCCTCAAAAGTCGTCTTCCAAAATTTTCGCCCAGATCCTCTTTGGAGTGACGCTAAAGCTTTTTTTTGCTTGAGCTAACGCCATTTGTGACTTCAGACAGGCCATTGGCAAAGGGTGGGGCTCAAATTGAGACTTTCGATTGGTCTAAATTTTCAGAAGTCAAGAGGTTTTCTCCAGTAGTAGCGTACTGCGCACGTACCTGGCAGCCTGGTACGTAACGGTATTGAACCGCGACGGCGACGCGCCGTCATCCCACTGGAGTCTGCGCATAGGTTCACCTAGCTCTGGTTTTTCCGACTCTCTGATTGGATCGAGCAAAGATTGGTGGACTGGAACGACCACCACCACCAGTACTAAAACCTACCAAGAAGTTCTGATCCCATCTTGAAGCTGCCATCCTAGGAGGCGAATCGAAGGTCTTCCATCTTTAAATACAATCATGAATTGAGCAGCTAAAACTCACAAGCCACCTTTGTTATTCCTCAACTTGGGCTATAACGCCAATCAGCTCTTAATACCATGGTTCCAGGAAGGGTCATGAGCGCAGCTGGCTGCTCACAGTGCCGGGCTTCCATACTAAGACTATTCCTCGGTTCTGCAACTCCACTCGTCAGATCGCCTCTCACCACCAGTGCATCATGGCGCACTGTCGTCCCAGCCGGCAAGAGTGCCCGTCCTTATGCCACTGCATCACATTCGGATGGTGCTACCGCCAGTAAAGATCCTCATCACGCCGCATCTTCGACGGACAATCTCGAAGCTGCATCAGAGGAGCAGGCTTCAGATCAGACACCCTCAACGACACAGGCTGACGAGCCCTGGTATCTCCAAGTTGAGCCGCCACGACATGTGCCTGTGTCTGAGCCGCCGCCATTGCCTGATGTGCCTGAGGGCTCACCCGCAGTCATACCCCAACTGCTCAAGTATGCCGCCGAGGAAATGGGCCTGGATGATTTAAAGCTTCTTGATTTGCGCGAACTCGACCCGCCACCAGCACTGGGCACAAACCTGTTCATGCTATTCGGCACAGCACGCAGTGAGAGGCACTTGAATGTTTCCGCAGGTCGTCTGGTCAGGTGGCTGCGAGCCCAACACCGAATCTACGCTGATGCAGATGGGCTTTTGGGTCCCAATGAACGTAAAACCAAGCTCAGGCGCAAGGCCAAACGGGCACGACTGCTCGGCACCATGGGAACAGATGATGCTGATGATGGCATCACTACTGGGTGGATCTGCGTCAACCTGGGTACTATCAACCGCTCGCACATGGAATCTGCTGTCGTTGGCGAGGACGGGCGTGTTGCTGGTTTCGGTGTTCCTCAGACAGGCTCCACCATTGTGGTGCAAGTTCTTACCGAGTCGAGGCGAAGTGAGCTCGGCTTAGAGATCCTCTGGGAGCGACACCTAGCCCAGCAATCTAAGAAACATATGAAAGAACTTGAATCCGGCAAGGACGTCGACTCTCAGACACCAGAGAATCCCGCTCTGTCGCATGCGCCATCTCGACCTACCATGGGAACCTCTCCCTCGACCAGTTCTCCATTTTCGGGTCAGACCCGATCATACTCTACTCAGACTACATACGTGGATAGTCGTCACAATGTACCAACTACATCTCAAGTCGACGAGCTACACGCCTTCTTGACTGGTAGCATTGGTTCCAATGAGGCCACTAGGCAAGGCTCGGATGAGGCAGCCGGCTTGCAAGCTGCTGCCCTATTTTCGGAAAGCTTGAGCCACGACAGCGCTGCGAAGACACGAATGATAGAGCTTCTGAACATGCATCTGCAAAATTTACCACGAAACCAGATTTTCGCAACTTTCAAGACTACGCCCTTTCTCAAAGTGTCTGAAGTTGCCATGCACGATATGCCAGCCGACAAGACTTGGGCATTGCGGCTGAGTATTCAGGCAAAAGCTCGCCAGCTGGGTTTCGAGGGTTACAAATCTCTAGGTCTTCATAAGTACGGAAACCTAGATGGGACGAGAGAGCTGATTGACCAACTCCGCATTTTTGCACTTCCCGCGACAAGAGAAGAAATGCAGCAGCTTCTTAGTTGCATTTATAACTCCCCAGAATCAGGGCTGGATGAGCAGAACAGCCTCGCCATGGAGCTTCTGGAGTCTGTTCACATGCGCGGCGAGTCAGTCATTCAGAATGATGTTGTCGTCGCCATTGTGGAAGGAATATCGTGGTCCCCCAAGCGTAATACACAAACACATGACCTTCTGAGAAGACTGGACGACTTCATTGTCCAGGCGGAGCTGCCCTACATGGGAGAGCCCTTGCTGATCAGACTCATGGAAGCATATGCCCGACTCAAGCGTTGGGATTCATTCTGGGAAACTTGGCGCACCCCAGCCCGATATGCTCAGCCTCGATCCAAAACGATGTACCTCCATTTCTTTGAGGCCGGAGCTGCCACCAAGGACCGCTCGAGCTGTTCTCAGGTTCTACGCCAAGGCTTTCAAGACATGTTCATGGAAGATCCCGTGGTCGAGCCTGTGGGGCAAATTTATGAAGCAATTCTCCAGTGCATTCGTGTGGCAGATCCAAAAGCCGAACTGCACGCCGCTACAATTCCAGACCATGCAATAGGCATCGCTCAAGCTTTGTCCCAGAGAGAGTTTGTGAAAATGATCAAGGACCTGCAAATCCTGCAAGCAAACCATCCGCGCTCGCAATCATTTTGATTGTGCGCGACCGGTGTGTTAAGGTCCATGACTGATCATGGACTTCGATTGACGGCGCGAATCCACGATGACCGGCGGCGATCGATGCTTGTCTGAGGACATTCGTGCTCATGGCCTTGATATATATGATCGTGCCCCCACCGCCTGGTCCGGCTAGTTCAAAGAATGTAACACTACTACTGTACGATACTGCAGCAACCAGCTTGTTTGAGTACCTAGCTTGCAATAATTAGACTCCTCGAGGTCAAATGCCATCAATTAAGACACTCAGCTCTGTTTAGATATTGGCTTTTTCTCTTGAACATGATTGAGGTGACTAGGTAGGGACCATAGCATGTATCATTGTGGTTGGCGACCTTCCCTTTCTGGAAAGGGGCCACTCAAAGGTTTTATGCTTGTTGGCCTAGTCCAGCAATCTTGGAGCGCTGATAAGACACGTGGGAAACTGATTCATCCCGCTAGAATCTACAATGACCCTGGTTATTATTATTATAATGATGATGCTACTATGGGACTTTGGAGACTAGATCGTTTTCACAGAGCGCCCATATTATCTTGTGCCGAGCAGATTGGGAATTTTTTTAATTCACACGGAGCCAATGCTTGAGGCAAGTGACGATTAACTCACACGAGCATTGGATGCTCATCATAGTTCAGTGCTGGTTGTATCCTGAGGATGATATACCGTTTGCAAAAATTAATCACCACGTCAAACGCAATCAAGCTCTTACTGGCTGCGAAGCTCACTTTCCGGATTCATCGTTGACAGAAACACTCCCAAGCGTGCCCTGATCATCAGACAGGCAGTTGATCAACCCCTACATCGACATTTGCTGACCGTTGCCGGTCACCCCTGGGCTTGAGTGCCGACTAATGCGTAAGCGAGAAAAGCCAAGTCTTTGTCCCTTGCGCCAATCTAGGTAGATTCATCATCAGATCGCAATCTTTGAAAGTGCATCCCGTTAGCATGTCCAATCAAGTATTGTATTTGACAGCATACTACCGTAATGAGAGCTCCCTCTAGAAGAAGTGGAGAGCAACCTGGAGCCGATATGCTCCTCAAGGCAGGGTACCCAATCGCTGGGCACTCACTACTACTAATGATTATATATAGACTGGTGACGGACATACCCACGCTCACTGACAGCCTTTCACACCACTTGGCTTGCCCCAGCGTTATCCTCCTGCTAGATCAATTGGCATCTTCATTTCATCAGCTCAGCTATAACCGTCCACGGCTAGCTTCTGACCCCTACGGTTAATCTCTATTTTCAACAAACATGGCTCGTGTCGCAGCCTTGACCCTGCTCTCAGCAGCAGCTCTTCCCGGTGCTATGGCCTGGGGAGCAATGGGTCATGAAACTGTTGCCTATATTGCTACCAACTTTGTGGCCACGTCGACAAAGACATACTTCCAGACTCTTCTGGGCGACACGTCAACCGACTATCTGGCGTCGGTTGCCAGTTGGGCAGACTCGTACCGCGTGAGTAGCCTTCTAGACACTTGATTACATAGTAGCATGAATGAGAAATCTGATGTTATGAACACTTGCAGTACACCACAGCCGGCAGCTTCTCCTCGGGCTACCACTATATTGACGCGCAGGACAACCCGCCGTCGTCGTGCGGCGTGGACTTGGACCGGGACTGCGCCGACGGCTGCGTCGTGAGCGCCATCTCCAACTACACGGAGCGCGTGCTCAACACCAAGCTCAGCACCGCGGACCGCCAGATTGCCGCCAAGATGATCATCCACTTTATCGGCGACATTGGGCAGCCGCTGCACTGCGAGGAGCTCGAGGCCGGCGGCAACGGCATCGACGTCACCTATGACGGCGAAGACACCAACCTCCACCACATCTGGGACTCGGAGATCCCCGAGTCCGTGTCTGGCGGCTCTTCTCAGTCTTCTGCCAAGACTTGGGCCACCACATTGACGACTGGTAAGCATTCCTCATGATTCCCCGCTTTACTCTCCGTATGTTTCTGCGCAATGAGGCCTTGATTGCTAATTGCAAATGGCAACAGCCATCAAATCGGGCACCTACAAGTCCGAGGCTGCCGGCTGGGTTTCTGATCTAGACATCACGGACGCTGAGACGACGGCTACGGGCTGGGCCTCCGAGTCCAACGCCTACGTCTGCTCGACCGTCCTCAAGGGTGGCCTCTCCGCCGTTGAGAACAAGGAGCTCGATGGCTCGTACACGACCACGGCGCAACCGGTTGTCAAGGAGCAGATTGCCAAGCAGGGATACCGGCTGGCCAAGTGGCTTGACGCTATTGCGGCAGCCTAAGGCGAGAGAGAGAGTAGAATCATGCTTGTTGTAGTGATGTAGCTAGCGGCAGAAATACGAATCAGTAAAGTGGCAATGAATATGATAGTCCATTTCTATCTTTCCATTCTACACAGTCATCGCTTGCCTTAACATGGGAGCAACCTGTTTACGACTATTTTCAACTTTGCCCTGGGTCCAACATTTCCTCCATGCGGCCTCTGTTACATGGTCCAACTCTCCACCTCTCCATTCATTCAATTCCAGCTTCCCTCTATACTCATGCTCGAAACGCTTCGCTGCTTCGACACCCTTTTCCGATCTTGCAACTAACATGAGCTCACGGCTAAAGTTGCCTTCCGCCTCCTTGAAGGCAGTCATGACGGCGACAAGATCGAGCCCCTTCTCGTCTCCCCACTTCTCCACCACTTGTGCGAGCTGGGCCCCGTTGCCGGCCTTGTCCCGCAAGTTGACAAAGGAAGCCGGAATCGACGACGTGCCAAGTTTGAGCCCGCCCTGATCCCACTCCTTGTAATCCTTGCGGAGAACGTCGCGCATCGACAGCGGTGAAATGTCCTCCTTGAGGCCAGCCAGGGCAGTAAAGTAGGCAGTGCGGTCAAACGGTGGGCGACCCTCGGTATTGGCGGCCAACTTGCCTTCCAGGTACCGCACCGCCTCCACGTCGTAGGCTGTCGTCTTGGTCTTGGCCTCTAGGTTGGTCGTGTCAATGACAATGGGCCCGAGGGCCAGCGCGGCGAGCTGGGCATCGACTTGTTCGCCCTCCTCGGCAGCTGCACTCTTGGACTTGAGCTCGTCCCAGGCTTCCCGACAGTAGTCCACGACGAGACTGGCGCAGCTACCGCTCTGCTCGAGCACGCGGGGCGAGGCGTCGCGGGGCACGCGGCCCTCGTCGGCGTGGTGGTCAATGCAGCCAATGACTCTATTGGCATAGGCTTCCAGCCGGCCCGTCAGGCAATTGTGGTCCACAAGGAGCCAGTCGGCGTCCAGGTTCCCAGCGCTGGCGGACGACGCTGCCGACAAGTCGTCCAGGGTGATCACGTCGTCTGGCGACGCCGAGGCCCGCCGCAGCACCTCGGTGAACTCTGGCCGCAGAGTCAAGTCATCCCGGGCCAGGTGGCACAGCGGGATATGCAGAGTGTGGGGAGGCGTGTAAGTGCGCAGATAGGCCAGGAGCAGTGCCGAGCAGAGAGAGTCGAGATCTGCATGCCTTTGGTTAGCTCATCGTTCAACATGAATGGAAGGCTTTTCTCGGCCAATTTTTGTAAAAGTCTGGGGTTTCTTACCGGCCGACTCGTTTCCCACGACAAATGTCAACTTTTGCTTCTTGGTTGTAGACGATGCCAGCGCCGATTTGGCGCTCGCGAGGAACGCCGATAGGGAAACGCGCGGGGCCATTGCTAACTCCTCGGCAGCTAATAAATTCTTGTGTACTTCCTTTTAGGAGTGTTTTATGATAAAGCAATGTACGGCCTTTTTTCCTTTGTTGTTGTAATTTGTAAGAAAGCAATTCCTGGACCCGGAAGTCCAAATTCTTCTGTACTCTTATGCCGCGGACTTCGAAGTCTGGAACATCGTCATTATGCGAGTTTATGCAATTATAACATATTATCACCGTGGTATATGCATATATGTACTACGATCGATTTATACACGGTTTTATACACACATACAGGTCTCGCGAGTATAGTTGGACTAAACTAGCATTTCTTGTTAAAATGGCCTATACTAGCTTTGTATTAAACTAGATGACCGCCTTGACCTCAAGAAATACCTGTTTCAAATTCTCTCCATGTCTCAGCCTGCAAAATACAATAATTCACTTGCCACAAGACCCCAGTTACTGCGTCTCTAACCCATTCAGTGGCATAAGCTTCCTGGAAGCTCATTCCATTAGTAGTTGCAGTGGGAAACGGAATCCAAGGCCAAAGCGGTAGCGGGTACGATAACCTGAGAAGAATCGACACCAATAGTGACATTCTTGAGCGCCCTGTAGGTCGTGGGGAGAACGGCCAGTTTCATAGCCGACGGGGCCAAGATGCCCGCAGTCGGTGAAAAGGAAAACTTGACCGTCGGTGCGGGCTTGCCGTTGGCATAAAAGCCGGCAACCGAAATGGTACAGCTCAGCGGAATCGTGGCCGACGAGGCGGGGGTGAATAGGGTGCAACCAAAGTAGAAGCTGGTCAGGTCAAAGCCAATGACGGGTTTCTGGGCAGCAATAGTGCCAAAAATCTTGAGTGAGTCGGTGCCGAGATTGAGTATGTCGCTGGTTAGGGATGCGACAATGACATTCTTCTTGGTGTTTGGTATAACGCCTCCAAGGAATGCAGGAGGGGCCTTTTTGTTTTCCATACATGTCAACTGGAAGCCCCTAGGAACGGGGTTGAGTATATGACAACTTACAGCAGGAGAGAATCCATTGTAGTCGAGGCCATTGTATACTCCAACAGTCTTGAGAGAGTCCACAAGGGCGGGAGCATTGAGATTGTCGTAGTTGCTGACAAACTTCGTGGTACAGACAGCGCGCTCCTCGACAACGACAGCAGAGGCTCCTAGCACCAGGGACAAGGCGAACCAGGAGGGTCTCATTGTGGATAGTAATATGGGCGTTTCTTGACAGATGATGCAACTACTGGAAGGTGAAGATGTTCTGAGCTTGAAAACAGGAGGATCATTGCGAGGTTGGACTCTTCTTAAATACTTGGAGCACGACTGCCAAGACGCTCTGCTCAGTGGCTCTTTGACAAGTTATTGACGTCCAGTGACGGTGATCTAGAATGAGATCTTCAGTTACTGCAATCCTTTTGTGCAAGCCGTCCTTGCATGAAGAAGAAGAAGAAGAGGAGGAGGAGGAGGCGTGTTTTGCATTGCAAAGGCTTGGTCTCTCCCGTGATCCGAGAACTTATGCTTGTCCTGGACTTAAAGCTGCATGACACCATACTGTGTAACTGTGGCAGACATGGCGAACGTTGCCACTGGCGAAAAGAAAGTGGTATGTGAGCTTTGTTCAGGTTTTGCGGTCTCAGATCCCGTTGGTCCAGCTAGAAACATATTTTCACGAGGCCCGACATTTCTTTTTTGTCAAAAAGTGTGACTTTCTAGCATTCTGCAGCGGATATTTTGTGCAGGGAATTACCGACGCCATCTCTAGTACAATAAGTCAAGGTTGTTATGACGAGTATGAATATTGATGTGGTCTTGAGAGCATTGCGGACGAGAGCAATAGTTATACGCTGCAAGCCTGACACAAGAGTTTCCATCCATGCTCCATGCTTGGTACTTTTCTTTCTTGTACAAAGATACAGTCAAGACCAGTGTACTAGGCTATGCTCTTATGGTGGTCATTGATACATATGATATCATGGTGGATCCACAAGATACTATAGTGTTTGCAACTATTGTGAGACAACTACCGCGCCATCAAATGGTATGAAACTAACGGGCTCTAGGGCGGAGCTTAACAGACCACAGCTACCGAAATTCCTGACATAACTGAGAGCCAGACACTTAGGGTCGGTATACATAGAGCACAATTCAAGGCAAGCCCGGAAGTTCTCAATCCCACTAAAAGCGCCGATCAAGTTGTTGACTGATGCAGGGTAGATAGTTTCACAAGCAATTCTAAATGATTGCCCATTTGTAGACGTGTATGATGGTGCGAGCGCCTGGCAATCAGTAGGAGTTGGAACAAACTGTCATATAGTGTTAGATCAGCAAACTTCCTCATATAAGACTGGCTAGGCGACTCGAAGCTTTCAAGCGTACAAGGGAAATAAGAGAATATGTGCTCGTCATTCATGGAAAATTGCAAGACTATCCCAATATCTACTTACCGTAAATGTAGTTGACGTCACCGTCGTCGTCGCAGCTGTGCTAACAGTTTCCGTGCTAGTTGTTTCTGTAGTTGTTGGCACCGTTATAGTCGTAGTGGTCGTTGAAACGGAAGTGGTTGTGGTGCTGATGGTGCTGGTAACAACGGTGGTGACTATGCTAGAGGCTATCACAATCGTGGTCGCCGAAGAGGTCGTAGTAGATGTAAATATCTCTGTGCTCTGGTAGCAGGAACCTTTCACAAGCGGTGTAAGTAGTGGTTTACTTGATATATCCAAGCTGGTATTGCATCTCAAATTCTCTGGTGAGCAGCAAAACAGGAGGTGATGAGTAGATGGAGATGATATACAAAAGGAGTCTGAAAAAGGATGAACTCTCTTACAGTATTCACTCGCAATGTTATAAGGCGCAGCTAATAAGCTCCGATACAAGTCAGCTCTGGATCCAGGTGAGTAAGAACCTCCTGTCGGGATGGTAGGAGTATGCTGAGTTGGTGAGTAGTAGCTAAAAGGAGCCGTTGCAATATCTGGAAAGTCGTCTATTTGTGCCCATCCGCCCGAGTAATGCTTGGCTGGGATGTCAGGGATTGGCTTGACGAGACCATCATATGCGGCCGCTTCTGGGTTCTGACTATCTGAAGGCAAGATATCATCAAGACCACTGTTGGATGCCAAAGTGGGTGCAGACTGGGAGTGAGATTGGTAAAGGCCTGGTCTACCGTGGGATACATGAGAAGGCCATTTGACACTTGGAGTCGTCTTTTCCTTGTGACATCCTATAGACCGCTTCTTAACCCCGATCACGGAGATAGTCGTGGTCGTAGTCTCCGTAGATGTTGACGTGGACGTTGAAGTTGTTACAATAGTGCTTGTAATCGTACTTGTTGCAATTGTGGTACTCGTCGAGATCGACGCTATGGTCGCAGTTGTGGTGGTGGAAGTGCTTGAAGCGGTGGTGACGATGGCATTTGAAACCGACGTTTCGGTAATGATCGTAGTTGCAACCGAGGTCTCGGTTTTGATATCAGAACAAAATTGTTTCACCCAAGGATCCACCGCCAAGGGAGCGAGGCTTAGAAAGAATCCCTTTTGACAAGCGTCATCCTCGAGACCGAATGCAATTGCATTACAGCAGAAGAATGCTGAGATACCGAGGTTTCTCATCAACCTAGACAATGTCATTTCAACGTGGATTTGGGGAGAACAAGGTGATACCATGCGAAGAAAAGCATGAAGAAGGCAAAACTATGTGGAGTAAATTACAACACTATTATGTCAACCAGGGTTTGTAATGCAGATGTAAATAGGTCTCATCTTAACAACTTCGCGAGCCGCATGCCAAAAAGGTTGATGAAAATCGATCGCTCAATAGTCATGAAAGTCAACCTTCACATCCCTTTTCCCTTTTCAACTACTGCAGGGAAATTTCGGAGGAAAGCTCGACTATTCTTGTCAGAAAATAATGATATTCAGCTTTATTTAGTTGTCATTGCTATAACACTGATATCAGTATTATAGCTTTGAACACGCATAGCCGATTATTCAGCCTTTGGGTATTTTGAAGAGACAAAAGAGAAAGAGGAAAGAAAGGAATGGTGCTGGAATTATATCTCGAATGGCCCCGTAAGCGGATGACCTGCCACGCCATCAGCCAATATAAACTCTCTCCCGCAGTCGAATTTCATAAGCCGAACCTTTATGATATTAATGCCAAGAACGCATTTGCTACAAACATGCACTCGGAAACGCTTCGTAAAAAGGCCAGTGATCGTTCTTCATGGATGCAACACGGCCTGCATGGGTTGAGACGCTCTGCTCAGATGCTCATGAGGCTTTCACTCGGAAATAGCGGCAATGTAAAGAAGCTACTCCAAGACCGAGTTTGGCTCGCGTCAAGCAAAAGCATACGCCTCTAAGCAAAAACAGGCATTCGCCACCTGGGGACGGGTTGGCCGACTTGGACCGGGCTGGTGCGGCTCGAATAGAGCCACCTGATTTCCAATGGGACGGCAGGGCCCCAAAGTGTATTTGATGTCTTTTCCAAGGCGATGCCCGAGCAAAGCCGGGGTATGTCTCAAAGGAGAACATCGACTGACAAGCTAATTATGTAGGAAAATGTTGCCATATATCCGTACGGGACAGCATGTGAGCGCCACATCATATTACCTGGTCCATCAGCAACTGGCCACTACGAGCGGGCCGGCCCAGCTCGTGCTTCTCCGTGGGCCCAGAAAGTTAGAATTAGAGTTCAAAGTGCCTCATGTCACAGATGATTTGGCGAGAGCTGACCAGGCTGACCAAAGCTGACTTGAATGTAGGCTGTCTTGAAACATATTACTCGGGTAAGCGACTGAAAAGAAAATTCCTATCCGTCAAGTCACACCTACAGAAAGCATTACGGTATTGAAAGGATATACTTCCGAATTATAAGTGCGGAACAAAACCTCCACTGACCTACACAGCATCTGCACTTCAGTGCCATTGAGATTGGGAGTGGTTGCAATCTTTGTTTACAGAGTGTAGGCAGTGTTGTTCCGAGTCTGTCAACCTGGGCGTGTATCTATAACCACAAGGTACACAATTCAAATCAAAACATGTTCACATTACACATGATAGTCTGAGCGATAGCCTAGATATCCGCAACTCCTCCCAATTTAGAACATATCTGCCCGTGGCTTCGTGTCATAGTGTTCATCGTGCTTGAAAGACAGCGATAGCCATTCCTCCAGGTGTCCATCTTGATTTTTGAAAAAAAAAGTATAAAAAAAGAGTTGATATATGTAAAGTGGCGAGTCAGACTAAAAACGAAATCATGTCCCCAACGCCGATTCGCCTCCCAATGCTTGTCATTAGAAACATTACCAATAATTATGTGTCAAATGTGATTGAGGAATACACCTTGTCACGTATTTGATCTAGGGTGATTGTAAGTAAGCAACAATATGGGCAGCGCAACGCAGTTGGAAACATACCTCTCATGCCGCTCAACGCCTCGAATGCCGTGCCGTAATTCTCCAGTGTACCCAAGATAGACAGGATCCCTTGCTGAAGCCGAGAGAGAAGATCGTTGGCCAGTGAGCCAGCGTCCGTACTCCAAGTCGAGTACATGGTTTGCGTCTTGGCATGTACCATGAGTAGCACATATGCGCACTGCATGGCACAGCAGGCAAATGACGGCATCGTTCGTGGTGATATGACATTTGAAAATGGACCAATGTAGGAAGGGCCATCTGAAACTTGATTGATTGGGTTCGGGTACGGCATCAGGTCAAATGCCTGAGCAATGCTCAGGGCCGACTTGAGACATATTTTGGCGGATTGGTGACTGCTGAAAGGAAATATCGGGGTCATGATAGACTGGTGGGACTGTCCGCCATCGGAAGGTGATGACCGCATCGAATGGGCGGGTGAAGAGGCTGTGGCAGAACTGTTGGAGTGACCAGAGGTTCCACTGATGAGCGTACTGCAACAAGATGGCCAGTGTCGCAACTCTTGACCGTCATTATTGCCCTTCTCTTGAACTGGCCTCAGGTCACAGTTCTTTCTCGGAAAGACTGGAAGATCAAAGAATGCGCAATATCGGTGGACTTTGATTCGTGCGCTGTAGATGTCAGACACGAGAATTTAGAGAAACGGATCAAGCGACTAACCTGTTCAATTTGATTCTTGTCATGCATCGTAAGGCTTGTGCAACAGATAGTTCGAACTGATCTACCATCTGGCTCGGGGGGCAGCTAGACACTGAGATCTCCGACGCTGTCACGAGCGGTTCTAGTAGTAGCTCAAGCTCAACCATTTTCTGATATATGTTGCTCATATCTGCATGTCGCCTTAGAGCTTCATTCAGATCAATGACAAATTGGGTTGCTGTAAGAATGGCCTGCTGTGATTTCACAAATAATGGCCAAGCCTACGCAGGATTAGCTTGTAGCAAACTGGAAAGTCAATAATGAGCACGTACCTCCGCGTCTGTAGCAATAGTCGGCATCTTGGTCGTGAATGACGGCGTAAATACATCAAACGAAGGTTTCTAGAGACATGAGTATGGCGGCCTATAAAACAAAGTGAAATATCAACATACCGAATTTGAGACAATCGAGGCCTGACATATGCAAACATATGTCATCCACCAGACGCGCCTTCTTGCTTCAGAAAAAGGATCTTCCTCGTTGTTCGTATGAAGTGACATGCCCATGGCTGACATGAGAGCGGCATTGGCCCGGGACCTCATTCTCTTTAGATTGCCACGCTGTGAATATTCATAGACACTCAGAATGTCATATGCAACCACACTTTCAAGTTCGAGGGGTAGATTTGGATGAAATGGCTGCCGGTTGATATATTCATCGTCCGAGTCTTCTAAAGCCCGCGAGGGCTCCACTGAAGACTGTGGATGGTCGCTCTCGGTCTCGATAGTTTCAAAAGCAGATTGTGCCAGAAACTGTGCATATTTGCGCCGAAATAGGATGGATTCCTCCGCAAGAGGGTTCGGGTCTTGGGCGCATGGAACGAGTGCCAAGATGGCTGAAATAGCGAGCGCAGCTGGCGAGAGCGACTCGTTGATATCCATGGGCTTGCTTTCGAAGAGGAGGCCCGACTCATCAGGCAAGACGGGGGATGCCGGCGGGGGCAGAATGGGGAAATAGGGATGTACCCAAATATAGTACGCATTTAATCTACCAGGGCATCAGTTGCCGTTCTTTCAGAGAGTCTTGTCTTTGGGTCATTGGGGTGTCGCAATCTTTGATCATTGGCAGACGTTGACAGAGGTAAGATTAAAAGGAGGCACTGCTCACATTGCGAAATCACTTGTATACGATCTTGCCATGGGACCAGCCTCGCTGATGGGCGGTGTTGTGGTTCCCGTGAAATTGGTCGTGTTGCTAAACAGCGTGTCGAACAGCGTATCACTGTCGTTGATTACTTCATTGAGATTTTTCAACCCAGCTCCTGGGTTGATATAATTCTCGACCAGAACTGCACCGGGGTTATCAATTAGGATCATGGCGTCGCCATTAGGTCCGAGGCTCTACTCACGGTTGGACGGCATGTCCACGTCGGGCGGTTTAGACTCGACAGAAGGAGCTACATCATCCTCTGATGGGCGCTGCTTCTTGCGCACGCGAGGACCGCCTCGCCGACTTGGCTTGTACTGGCATGGACGGTCCCTACTTTTGCACTGGTAGATGAGTCAGAGATGCGAGTATAGCCATGGGCAAGTAAACGGAATAGCAACATACACTTGCACACGGGGTCTCACCCGTACAGCGCGTCCGCGAGGCTCGACTAGAGCTTGTCAGCAGCCGGCTCGCAAGATCCCATTTACTGCGGAGGGCGGTGATAAAAGACAATATCCATTCATCCATGACTTTTGGCCTATAAGGGAGGGGGTGCGGAGACATAGACCCGAAGGTAGCGGGCCGGGTCAGCAAGCAAGCAATCCAATTGACTTACCATGCAAGACAGGCAATCTTGACTGGAGGAGTCGCAAACTTCTTCCTTGCCGCATTGGGTCCGTCCTGGGCGGGCACAACGGGCCGGGTTATCGGCAAAGCTTGAACTTCGGCCATGCTCTCTCTCTCTCTTCTTTGCTTCAGAAAGGGACAGACAGCTCAGCTCAGCTCAGCTCAGCTCAGCTTAACTCTCTCCCTCTCTCTCTCTCTCTCTCGT